CTATGGGCAGCTGTACACGTCATCGTTTGAGCCACACGCAAGTGTGAGTAACGATCCAAGAGCGAGTCTCATCCGACACTATTCCGAAGATATCCCGGACGTCAGTCTGTGCGAGATTAGAATGGCTCTCCAGCACCTTAAAAACGGCAAGGCCCCAGGCGAGGATGGTATTACAGCGGAGCTTCTGAAATCGGGTGGAAGACCGATACTTGAAGTCCTTCAGAAGCTCTTTAATTCCGTCCTCCATGGTGGCATTACACCGGAGGCGTGGAGCAGAAGTACGGTGGTCTTGTTCTTCAAGAAAGGTGACAACGCTCTCTTGAAGAACTACAGACCGATTTCCTTTCTGAGCCGCGTCTACGTGCTGTTTTTGAGAGTCATTACGAATCGTCTCGCGCGCAGACTTGACGACTTCCAGCCTCCCGAACAAGCCGGTTTCCGAAAGGGCTCTAGCACCATAGACCACATACATACCCTTCGGCAAAATGTACAGAACTCCGGAGAGTACAATTTGCTACTAGGTCTGGCGTATGTGCACTATGAGAAAGCCTTTGATTCCGTCGAAATTTGGGCGGTGCTGCAGTCCCTTCAGCGGTGCCAAGTTGACTGTCGGTATATCGAAGTGCTGAAGTGTTTGTACAGTAGAGCTACGATAACTATCCGAGTACAGAACCAGAGTACGAAACGTATCCAATTGCAGAGAGGTGTAAGACAGGATGATGTTATATCCCCGAAACTCTTCACCGCTGCATTGGAAGACGTTTTCAAACTTCTGGACTGGAAAGGATACGGTATTAACATCAATGGCGAATACATCACTCACCTTCGATTTGCCGACGATATAGTCCTTATGGCAGAATCGCTGGAGGACCTAAGCACTATGCTCAATGACCTCGATAGTGTCTCCCAACGGATAGGTCTTAAGATGAACATGGACAAAACAAAGATTATGTTTAATGTCCATGTCACACCTATGCCGATAGTTGTTGGGAGCACTAAGCTCGAAGTTGTTGACGAGTATGTTTACCTGGGACAAATAGTCCGACTAGGTAAGTCCAACTTCGACCGAGAGGTCAATCGACGGATTCAACTCGGCTGGGCAGCGTTCGGGAAGCTACGACACATCTTCTCCTCAGACATACCTCAAAACCTTAAAACGAAATTGTACAACCAGTGCGTGTTGCCAGTGATGACTTACGGAACTGAGACGTGGTCCTTCACTGCTGGCCGTATGCGGAAGCTCAAGGTCGCTCAGCGAGCTATGGAGAGGGCTATGCTCGGAGTTTCTCTGCGTGATAAACTTAGAAATGAGTATATCCGCAGTAGAACCAGAGTAACCGACATAGCCCAACGGATTAGTAAGCTGAAGTGGCAGTGGGCCGGTCATATAGCTCGAAGAACCGACAACCGATGGGGAAGAAAGGTTCTCGAGTGGCAGCCTCGTACGGGTAGGCGAAGTGTAGGACGACCCCCCACGAGATGGAGTGACGACCTGGTAAGACATGCAGGAAGTAGATGGATGCAGGTGGCTCAGGACCGTGCTTTGTGGCATTCCTTGGGGGAGGCCTATGTTCAGCAGTGGACTTATGAAAGGCTGTAATGATGATGATGATTGCAAAATAATGATGTATAATCACTACGTTTACTCTTGGACGCTAGTGGTAAATACCCAGACCGACAACGAAAAGCATCCAAGTGCGAGTCTGCGATTGTCAATCCGTGTACTAAGCAAGACGGATAAGGCAAGTCTTGTATATAACGGGAGAGGCTTTTGTCCAACAAAGGTATTTTATGGCCTGATGGTGATATAATTATGTAAATACTAATCAAATAGATGATATAGTTACTTATTATATCATCTTGTATTTGATTTGAAGGTAGGATTTTATTTGAAAAGGAAAATGACGATTAAAATCATCATGTTGGTTTGATGCACCCAAATGGTGGACGTTGCACCAAAGCTGTGTGTGACGACTGACTGATGGAGAAAACATCCAATCCAACATTTAAGACATGTCTTTCAAAAAGGCAATGCAATTCTTACAGTGATGTTGAACATTACTAGTGCGAGGGTCTGCGCTTTGCGCTTTCCAAAGTCCAGAATCGTGAGAAGAAATCTCGTGAATACACGACGGCGGTAATAGAAAAATGCTGACAAACTTTCGACGCTGGGTCTGTTGAGATTGTACGTCTTGCTAGACTCAAGACCATAGACCACTATATATATATACTAGACTCAAGACCTTCCTTCAATGGTATCGACGTGTTAGTACGCGTACGTGTTGGCGGACTTCACGTTTCCGAAAACATTTTTATTCCGACATTTTCCTTCATCTTTATTTGTATTGAGGATCAATTTCAGTTTGTTACGAGCCTTTGTAATAGAGGATAGATATTCACGTTATAACACGTGTGATTCAGATACACAAGTATCTATTTCGTTATTTATTTTAGGTATTTAATATTCACATTTGCCGTGTGGTGGCGGTGGGTGTAAATCCATAATATCATCATCATATTTAGTTGATTGTGGCGTTCCTTGGAGGGCGGCCTATGCAGTGACCCGTGAAGGGCTGTAATGATGATTCCGTACGGAGGGTATCGTAAGAGGCGACTGTGAGAAATGCTAAAAAAATTACCTGCATGCCTAAGAAGTAATAAAACTTTCGAGAACATATAAGTCCGTCAAACTGCTGCAAGCCCCCACGGAAAAATAAGACTAGAAGAACAATATTATCATCATCACCATTACAGCATTTTAAAAAGCCCACTGTTGAACTTAGGCCTCCCCTAAGGACCAAGGAATACCACAAAGCACTGTCTTGAGTCACTTACATCTTTTACCAGGTCGTGACTTTATCTAGTTGGGGGCCGCCCCACACTTCATCACTAATCTAGTTGGGGACTGCCCCATATTTCGCTTACAACCTTAGTTCTCCATCGGTTATCGGTTCTTCGAGCTATATGGCCGGCATATTTTCACTTCAACTTACTAATCCGTTGAACTATGTAGATTACTCTGATTGTACTGCAGATATTCTCAATACGAAGTCAATCACACAGAGAAACTCTCACAACATGGCTCTTTCCATAGCGCGCCGAGTGAGATTGAGCTGAACAATGGACATAAAAATAAAATGCAAATATTTAATAGATAAGTTTTAATGACCATTTTCGTCTGTAGCACTTTTAAAAATAATGTTTACATAATCACAAAAACAAAAGGAATTGTATTGAAAAAAAAATAATGAGGATACCACCTTAACATTAATGATTAGTTCCATTTACAGCTAATAATAAATTTAAACTCCCTAAGTGAAAAATATAACAAAAACGCATCTGCAAATACTGTATGCCTGATAATAATATCGGAGGTAAACCTACCTACAATATTCTCGAACAATAACAACATACTGGATTATATAAAAAATTTGAACCTTACGTTTAGAAATGGCAGAAAAACTTTTTCACTTTTGCCAAGAGAAAAAAATAAGTCAAAGGTTTTCTCAAAAAATTTCCACTTAAGTCACGCGCTCACTTACACTGGTATTGTTGTATTTAGTACCTTTAGTCGGATGTCTGTATCCTCCGGAGATCGGGTGGACAAGATTTCACTCCGTCCAAGGGACATCGGACTACAGGCACGCGCAGTAATATTTATTTGTGAACATTACCTAATATCTCTATATCTTACGTCTACAAATAACGTTCTGATGAACTATTGTTTAAATCGAACCCCCTTATACGAAACATACTTTTACAATTCGCTATAAATGCGACCGGTATTTCACGGCCGTGCTCGCTAAATTCACTAAATTTCAAACACCCCCTCTCCCCCACCTGTATGTACAATTTCAAAGTTACTTGCCAATGACAAGACCGTTTATATATTATATTTTTACCACAAATACAGCCGCTATGTGGATTAGTTATAATCGATATCTAATCTGCCTTTTTATATACAGAAACGGGTAGAATACTGCACGAAATAAATCGCGGCTCAAAGCCGTGAAGTGACCAGTGAATACGGTCACCGAGTCAAAATACTAAGATATACATAGAGTACGGTAGTGACTAGACGGCCCCGAAGCAAAAATTGGGGGCAAATGCTATTTACACCTTTTACACTATGGATATCAAATTCACACTATCTTAACACATAGCTACTGATAAAACATTGATACAACATAACGCCCTTTGGAAACGTAAAGTCAAGCGATAGTACAGCCAGAATGTTGGCACGGAAAGTTTCAGTTTGCGAATAAACAAAAATCTTCAAAAATATTTAACGCCCGACATTAAAGCTCGAATCGTCTTTTTCAACGGTCAATCGATTTGTGCATTTCCATGGAAGTAGCTTAAGACTATGCGAATATAATACAGTATCCAAAAAGAAAACAAGTTAAAATTAGAAAATATTGGCTCCAAATTAAATTGGTAAACACGCTATGGAGAAATATATTCAGTCTAGCATCATCATGAAGGGCTTTATTTATTTATTAAACACTCGTACCCGCAAAATGCTAAGAATACATTAAATTCACTTTTGAGTATAGTCTGTATTCACTATCGGAAACACTTAGCCTATAATGAAGGTAACCTACACAAATATATTTTTATACAATCACATGTTATTATTGACTTACATAATATAATGGATATATTACACGAATAAAAAAATAACAATAAAAACACAATGCCTCCTTTACAGTCATTATCATGAATTAAGACATGTCTAAAAGTTTTGAACTGACTGGTGACATTACGCAACTTAGAAAATAACTAACACGTAAAAGGAACGGCTTAACGTAAGGTAATCAACAAAATCACACGTATCAGCCGAAAATAAGCTACACAATTTTATATACAAAACAATTTTAACAATTTTCTATATATTACACCTATATAATTGTAACCTCATGTATTATGAGATCATCGCTCAGTCTGGTTAGTGGCATAGTGCCGTTTTGTATTACACAAATAATTACATTATGTCAAGTTTAGTGGGTAGAAAAATCCATTGTTGGTTTCCTTTGTCGTGGTTTTTTAGGTCTTGGTGGGACTGGGGAGCCATTGCAGCAGTGGCAGCCTCGTTTGACTACGCCCCTGCCTGACGCTCGTCGTCTGACTTCTAAACTGTCCGGAGATCTCTCCCCAGCCCGCGTCTTTCCCGATAAACTTCGCCCCATATCACCTTCGAGCGAGTGATAGAGTCGCTTGGCTGGATACGTGCGAAGCGGCGGATGAGTGTCATCCGCTGATGAGCCATCAGCACTGCCACTGCGCTCTTTGCCTCTCGCCTCTTTGATTACAGAGTCGAGTCTCATATGTGTGCCCACTCCGCTTGAGTCCGTTGAGTTTGTTTCATCGAAGGATGGACTCTTGCAGCATTTGTCACTATCACTGCTAAAGTCTAACGGTCTTCGACTTTCAGAGCGCTCTGAGGCTGAATTCGACTCCCAAAATAGTTCCGCATGGCGTTCTGGTGAGGATCTGTCGTCGTCAACGTCTCCAGTTATAGATTCTAGAGTAGCGTCCCTCGAGCTGTCTTCTGCAATCATTTTCGCATCATCTCCAGCTATTAGTGTGTCCGGTTCATCGATTAGAAACCTCGGGTCCCGTTTATCGTCATCATAGCAAACCCTTCTGATTACTTGAGTTGCGTTGTTTCCAGAGTGAACGATGGCAGATGCTGTATTGGATAAGTGTAGTTCTCTTGAATCAGTTAGGATACTGTCAAAACGTGTCAGGCCAACATCTTTGACAAGTACCGATGAGAGGTTTAAATTATTCACGTGGGTGCTTGGTGCTGAGTTGATAATATTATCAATGTGTGAAAACTTCACATTATGTTGAATATTAGGATTGTCAGGTGTTGCCTGAGATATGACAGTTGTCTGTGGGGCCGCCATTAGAACTGTAGCTGGAGCTCTGTTTGCGTGGAATATTGTCGATGTAATGTGACGGCCTTTGAAACCGGCTATGGTAAAGGGCTGCACCTGAAAAGATTAGGCAGTCTTAAGGCAACACAGTCTACTGCAATTTATCAATTACTGTTATTAACTAAAAGAAACGTTTATATAATTTAAGTTTTATTTTTTTTAACAATTATATGTAATCTTTGAAACAGTAATTCCAAATATTTTAATTTAAAGAATCAGTTCATGAATATTTAACTCAATCAATTTTGATAAATTATTGCGGCAATTTATTGTATAGCCCTAGCTCAACCTACATCACGCTCATAAATGGTCATTGTTTAATCATTATATCTGCTAATCGAACAGAGAACTTGTATCTCACCTCTCCTTCATCAGTCGGTTCACTATGGAAGGTGGTGTTTGGATGCGACCTCGCAAACTCTTCGTGATCCAAGGCGATGGTCGCCTGCATGCCGTCTTCGCTGACGGTTACGATTCCGACATCATCGAGCCCCAGGTTCACGTCCAAATCGTTACGGTCGTCTTGTATGTCGTTACGAGGCAGCAGTTGATCGGTAGCGATTTGATCGTCCATATCGGGCTGAGGTATGCTACTTTGACTGAGTATAGTTGGTTGAGCTAAAACGAAGCAATAATTTTAACATATACTACGAAAGGCTAGAAACTTTAAAATATTTAAGAAAAACTATATTTTATCTGCAATATTTAAACAATTTAAAAGAATAAGCATCTCGTTAAATATTCGTAACTTTTATTATTTAACATTTTAATTTACTTTCAAATTAAATTTTCGTTACTCAAATGAATAATGGCGCATTTACATTAAAATGTAATAAAAATAATTATAAGTATTAATCTATATATTCATAAGTGAAGAGAAAACTTTGCACCCCTTTTTAACAACTTTGTTTGTCCGTGAAAAAGAAAAACAAACAATCGAAATGTTCATATATGACTCAGGCGACATTAATATGGTTGGACATATTGCGCGCGGAGGAGTGAGTTTACATTCATACTGCCAATGTCAATAGTCAAACACATAATAGTCTATAGTCAAACAGTCACACAGAATAGCGATTGACGTCAAAGAATTTTAAAATTTTGGCAAAAAAATAATTACTGACAGATTGACTATGAGCTGTGAATTTTGCGTAATTTTTGATTTTCCTTTTTCAATAGTCCGTGGAGTGTATTTCAAAGCAAAAAGCGTATATAATGTGCAGTTCCAATTGAAAATTATAGATAGTACAGCATAATGATAAAACTATCAGTCGTTTTGATAAGTTCCAGCCCAAGTAGCTATTCAACTGGATCCAAACTATTGCCTGATACTACTTTCTAGTATTGTCTGACTACTTTCAAAAACGATTTTTATTGTGCGTTATATGCCAGCTTGTAATGAATGACTAGTAAAAACGCTACTCACAAGCGAACAACATTCCTTTCAAACGAATGTAAGTGCGCCATTTAGCTTTTTTTTTTTAAGATTATTTCTTACGAGTGTGCGAATGGTGCGAATTCTGGTCGTGTGTATGATCATGAGCTGGAGATCCGGCAAACAGTAGTTCAGCCTCCGGGAACAGTTCAGAAGCGGATGGCGAGTCCACGCCCAAGTCTTCGCATTCCTCTGATAAAGATTTCTACAACAATCAAAAATATTTACGAATCATAATATGTTCTCACCATCGTATATTAAATAAATAATTTTATTAAAAACTGCTTTACTATGTGGTAGGACTTCTTTCAGCGCAGGAGCATGTCTGGGTAGGTACCACCCTCTTACCTACTTCTGTCGCTTGCACTGCTATGTTTCGCTCTCAAGATTATACTCTTAGGCCCGTATTAATAAACGTTACTCAGCTCAAGCACGCGCACTTGAGTACAATATAGAGGTTATGATCTTATTAATAAACATATCTCAAGATGGGGTTTAGGTTTACGACATCAGCTGAGTGCCACACTGATTAATAAAGGAAACTCGACTCTCAAGTGTGTGTACTTGAGTGCAAATCACAGAACAGTATTCCTAAGTATAGCGTTTTGAGATACTGTTTTTATGTGTTAATTAGCAACGATCTTGAGATGCTGATATCGTAATGAGGGCGTATCAAATGATTACACGCTTGAATTCGTCGTTGAGTAACGTTTATTAATACAAGCCTTAGAGAGCTTATATAATTATACTTATGTTTAGAAACAGGCTGTCAGGCATTCCATCACAGTACTAAAGTGACAACGCATCTGTAGTAACCTTCTTTGTTTAAATTTATCTACTAGTCTATCGACTACACTACAGTAGTCATTCATTAGCCATAGATCTTAAAACCTTTTTTGTGAATTTTTTTCTCCGATCGAAGAAAAGCTAAATGGTAAAAAATAATATAATAAAAGTCTAATGTAACACATCGCTCGCATAAATAATTACATTTTATGATGTAAAATTCTGATAGAACAAATGTATAAAATACATTGCAAGTAAGACTTTTGTTATTTTACAGTTTTCTTTATATAACACTAAAAATGACAAACGACGTTTATGTAGTAGTAGGACTTCTCTGTAGCTGTATTATGCCTACAACACGAATGGGTCGGCTCGAGTAAACCAGTGTAAAATAGCTCATAGTACTGTTGTGTTTCGAATGTTAAGTGATGAGAACCGGAGACCCTTTTTACTGATAACAAGACATTCCACCTTAATCCAACCAACACATCTGAATTTTGATTTTAATCGAAGACAGATATAATTGTCTATGGGCACACTCATCAGGTGGACGGAATGACCGTTTGTCACCCTCCTTTATTTTCCTGAAACTACTATGTCAGTCCCATAGTCAGCTTCTAAAAACTTATAAAGCGCAATTCCAGTCATGCGTTAAGTACTGCTGCTATATATGGCTTTGTGTTTCAAATGCATGTATCGGTCGGTACCCAGCCACTCGTTACCTGAGTTTGGCTCTTGTAATTTTTTTTATAGGAGAGGGGGGCAAACGAGCATGCGGCTCACCTGATGGTAAGTGACTACCACCGCCCATAAACAACCGCAACATCAGGGGAATTGCAGATGCGTTGCCGGCCTTTTAAAAATGAGTAGGCTCTTTCCTCTCAATCCCGTGATGGTTTCAACCAAGAACAAAGTTACGATAGACCTCGATTATCACTTCATTACGAATCGATAAAGGCTCTTTTCCTGTGGCTAAAGTTTGCAACAGTTTTAACAAATCTTCAAAAGTTCGTAGCAATCGCACTGATGACCTACCTTCCCTCGACCCCAACAGCTGAAGATTATTTTTGAGAGTAACCCTACATATCCACACAAGGTAATTCCTTTGTCTTATTCCTGTGTTGCACGTGTACATTTAAACATGGATGAAGCCGAAGCGCAATACAGTAATTTTTTAGGTGCTCTGAATATAATAGTTATTTATAAAATAAGGGTGACAACTGAGCACACAGTTCACCTGATAGACAGACATAGCGTTGTCATCCATGGACTAAGATGGAATGCCTCATATCCCGTAAAAAGATTTTCCGGTTCTCCACTGAACTTACACTAAAAGATCTCTATCTCCCAAAATAATGTAACATTTTATAAACGTTCACTTTTTACTGAACGCCCCACCTTACTCACTAGGTAAGACACAGTTTTGATTTAATTAATTGATTCCAAAGGATATTTATCAACGACAACAATTTGCTTTTGCACGGTAGTAAAATTAAATCTATTAAATTCACCAATATTAAACAGGTATCAATTGAGGAGCTGAGATCTTGATAAAATAACTGAAGCTTCAGTGTGAATCCCAAACTGTTATAGTTTTTCAGATTAAACATAGCTTAATATGTAATAATAATAGCAATCCAAGAGCAAGTCTTATCCGACACTAATCCGAAGATATTCCGGACGTCAGTCTGAGCGAGATTAGAATGGCTCTCCAGCACCTTAAAACGGCAAGGCCCCAAGCAAGAATAGAATTACAGCAGAGCTTCTGAAAGCGGGTGGGAAACCAATTACCGGGATCCCACCCACTTCCATTCCTTCAGAAGCTCTTTAATTCCGTCCTCCATGGTGGCACTACACCGGAGGCGTGGAGCAGAAGTGAGGTGATCTTGTTCCTCAAGAAAGGTGACAACGCTCTCTTGAAGAACTACGGACCAATTTCCCTTCTGAGCCGCGTCTACGTGCTGTTTTGGAGAGTCATTACAAATCGTCTCGCATGCAGACTCGACGACTTCCAGCCTCCTGAACATGCCGGTTTCTGAAAAGGTATTAGGACCATAAACCACATACATACCCTTCGGCAAATTGTACAGAAGTCCGAGGAGTACAATTTGCCACTATGTCTGGCGTATGTGGACAACGAGAAAGCCTTTGATTCTGTCGAAATTTGGGCGGTGTCGCTCAGCAAGCTATGGAGAGGGCTATGCTCTGAATTGATCTGCGTGATAAACTTATACATACATATATATAACATATCCCAACGGATTAGTAGGCTGAAGCGGCAGTGGGCCAGCCATATAGCTCGAAGAACCGACAACCGATGGGGAAGAAAGGTTCTTGAGTGGCAGCCTCGTACCGGTAGGCGAAGTGCAGGGCGACCCCTCACTAGATGGAGTGACGACCTGGTAAAACATGCAGGAAGTCGATGGATGCAGGTGGCTCAGGACCGTGCTTTGTGGCATTCCTTGGGTGAGGCCTATGGTCAGCAGTGGACTTGTGAAGGGCTGTAATGATGATGTTGAATATTAATATAAGAATACTCACCTGTAATCTAAGTTCATGTTCCAGTATGGCATATTTGTGTCGTAAAGCAGCTGCGGATACGTGCGTTAAGCGGTGCTGCCGATGCGACGTACCATCCTTTTTCTGCACAACCTATTATACATTACAATGAAATAAGTTATTTTGTCATATACATACTACATCAATAAAAATCGAAGCCACTTTTTATGGTCACTAAACAATTTCTCAATGGCTTTTCAAATCAATAATATCCTAAATATTTTTAAATATTTTAAATATCAATTTTAAGCAGTAAGCTGATTAAATTAAGGGAAATAATTAACATCTGGACATAATAAAGGCTATAATATGATTGCGACAACGCTTAAGCCTAAAACATATTTTTTATTTCCTTACAAGTAACAACTAATGATATAGTTCAGAAGTAGAATGAAGATTGATGCGATTACATGCACAAAATAATGCGGGATTACTTAATAACGGGGAAGAAATAACAACGAACCGTTTTTTTGAAACATGCAAAAATAAATAAAACATTTTAAGGTTAATTTCGTTACTTTGTTGTTTCTTTTTTTTTTTTTAAGGAAGCGGTTTAAAAAGTTTGAATATAATAGGAAGTTTAAAATATAATAAATGATACAACGACTATTCGAACGAAGAGAGTGGAGGCAACATTTACTATGAGACGTAATAAACTGATTTTCTTCTTCGTTGGCTGTGTAGGACGCCATAAGATACCAACGTTAAGAAGAGGCGACATTTTGCTACATAATATTACGTAAATGAGTTCAGTCAGCTTTAATACCTTTATGTAATTTGCTAATGAAAATACGCTCATTTTGCATTATACAAGATTTCCCAATTTCATGATTATGTCTTACATACTGTAAGTAAGCAAGTAAGCAGATTAAAGCTCACAGGTATATATATTTTTTAATTTAAACATTTATAGATTAGTGTTAATAATAATTTAGCTGGAGTGGGTACAAATGTGTCGCAAATATTTTCATTCTTATGTGATGTTAAATATGGCATTCTTATCGGCAAACCAACACGGAACGAAGAGGAAAGCGTATAAAACAAATCGAGGCGTGCAGGTCTACTTAAGAGGCGGATCTAAATCAGTAGGGGCAGCGACGATTCTAAGTTATGATCACCTGATGGTAGGCCTTATCGTCGCAATCTGACGCGTCTATATCATAACCGCAACGCGGCGAATCGTCTTGCGAATCGACGATATACGACTTTTTCGAGTCTACGTCGAACATCTTATCAAATATCCTTTGCGCCTCCATATCGGGACTGTATCGATCTGGGATCGGGTCCTGAAGTTTCAAAATGTACGTCATATACGATTCACGATTGTTTGGGTGTTTTATGAGTAATCAGCGTTAAGGGGAATTATGTATTTCCTCGGAACAAGAAATATATGGCGCTTGTTAAACACAATAAGTTACTAGCAACTCAATATAGTGCTTAATATCGTACACAAACAGTCAATCAACTATATATTGAAGTTTAATCACATTAATGTTATTTCTTTTCAGTAATTTTGCTCATAATGTGTTTACATCACCTTTCACATATCTAAGGTTGGTAGAAGTCATCTTTGATGGTGGCACTTCACATGGCTATTTGTATTTGCGTATTTGCTGTATTTGACAAATAACTTCCATGTGTGGAGAGTATATTTACCATATTTATTGCCGTATTTGCCTATTTGGCGGTTTTTCAAGGCTCATCAAAGGAGACAAATAGGTATAAACGCAAATATATTGGCCACACATGGTCGGTTTCATAAGCGCGCGAACTGTCAACCAGTACGGACGGACCTCTTTATAACCTCTTAATAAGTATTAATTATCTTAATAAGTGATTATTTAGGTACCTACGGAAAATGAATTGAGACAAAGAAACCGTTATAAGGTTTCTAGAACTTTACCAAATGAACCCATGCATTTGGGATTCTGGAAACGAGGGGCATAAAAACCGGCAACGAGTAAACGACGCGTGAAATACCATTAAAAGACAATTTGGGTGTACCATGAACTCTGCAAATTTAAAAAAAAAGAAGGAGTCGGTTATGTCTGCGTATCGAGGTTACAAAACCAAAATAAAGAAAAGCGAACAATCCGGATCAGGTACAACCGATGTGTACCAACCAAGTTGGTTTGCATTTGCATTTACGGATAGTTAAATTTTTATGCACAGTCAGCATTCACCATCGCCTTGCTCTTGGTCGTTTTTTTGTCACTTTGTATTTTTTCACGCATAACATATAATAGTAACATGCGTTCAAATAATAAAATCCAGCTGCAAGTGCAACGTCCATTTTGTAGGTACAACTACTTTTTGCTAGCAAACATGTTTAATTTTTTGGTATTTGGCTCCATGTGTAGACGGTTGTATCGCTTATTTGCCCGTACGTCGAATTTTTGCCAAATACGGCAACATGCATTCACAAATACAAATAACCATGTGAAGTGCCACCATAAAAGAAAAGAAAGTTGCCATGAAAATTCTGAAGGCGCGATCGCGCGCAACAGCGAATTAGCGAACGAACACGTCACACGTTTAAAGCGTGTTTATTTCTAATTACATAGTATATTTATTTAGTTTAAAATTTTTCCTTTTTAATTTTGACATAATAACAAAATTAACTATTTCGAAATACTTTTAGAAATGACCGAGTTTTCAATTATTATATTTAAATTATTATATTACAAACATTAGTTTTATATAAATGTATACATAGATTATAAATAAATTAAACTTTAATAGAATAACAAGTTTATACTTACAAGCACTGTACGATCAATACTGTCGGCTCGAACAGTCTCTTCATATGTGTAGTCATGAGGGTCAGCCGATGATGGAAGGTTCCACGGTTCAGATCCTTCAGGACTCGAACCACGTTCCGGCTTAACGTCTTGAGCCTCTTTTTCGGCCCAAGGAGATGTTGTTGCTCTAGTTTCAACAAGTTCTGGAGTTGGAGCCGGTGCAGGCGAGGCTGTGCTATCAGGCGCCTGGATAGTAGTAGCAGTTGTTAGGTTGAATGCCTGAAGATTGTGCAACGCTGCTGTTGGTAAACGAACGTGACGTACTCCAGGACGAGCTAAAACAGGCTTCAATCCAGCAGGACCAATCAGACGTTGCAATAACAGAGCATTAGTTGTTCCACCTTCGCCACCGCCAACGGTCAGAAGTTTCGGACCACGATTAGTAACTATGGCGATTTGTTGACCACCTTTGACCATTGAAACTGGTAGAATATAATTAGCTGGCATTAGGACAGCTGTAGTTGGTTTGCCGGATGTTCCTCTGGCGACAGTGATAGTTTGCCCATCTGCCACGATAACATTTCTTTGTGGTTGGGGTCGTGGCTGGGTTGCTGGTGTTTCATTTTCAAACGTCAGTTTCCTAACAATTTTTTGTGGACTGTCTTGGGGAGAATGGCTTTCTAGGCAACTCTCATTACAATCTCCTTGTGACGTTCCGCAACTGCTGTCTTCAGATCCCATCGTACGGCAGGTTTCTTCTCCATGTATAGGGCTCATATCACGTGCTCCTGGACGCCGTGAACTACTTGAGCTCTTCTTACGCTTTGAAGACCCCGAAGAATTTGAAGGCGGGTTAGTCCGTCTTCGAGGCGCTGGTTTATCCTTATCTGGTGAATTCTCAACTTGTTCTTTATACTCAGCTAATATGTATAAAATTCTTTGTGTCGTTTGTTCGTCCTCTAGAGGTTTCTGTGTAGAAGTCTTTGGGGGAATATTGTTTAATTTTAATGTGTTAGGTGGATTTGAAGAAGCTTTTGGTCTTGATTTCGATTTGGAACTAATTTTCGCCGGTTTATGTTGGTTTTGCTGGTTAATAGATGTGCCATTCAGAGATGTTACTGTAGTAGTTGTTTGTGAAATCTGGGCATGCGAGGATGAAGAAGGAGACTCAGTAATAGTTGATGAATCTGGAGATCGCACAAATGTTGATGTTGCAGGTGTGGTGGTAACTGTAGGTTTTCTATTAACGTATGCTACATTAAAATGTTGGTTAGTTCCAATTGAGTAAAGAACTTGCGTAGGCTCTGTTGACGGCGGCCCGGTAGTACCATCAGTGGTATCACTTGGTGAAGTATGGAGTTTTGAAAAAGGGCCATTTCCATTAGAATTTGGTTGCACAGTACTTCTTTCCTTGACTTGCTCAAGTACCATGTCGAATTCCCTTAGTTGTTCGAGAGTCGATGAGCTCATTTGAGATTCCGATGACGATTGAGTTTCCGAAGGAACTTTTATTTGTCTGTTAAGTTGTGATTGTGGTAACCTGATCGTTTGCTGTCCAAGTGGCGGTGCGGCAGTAAGCACCAACTGCTGGTAAACGGGTTGATTAGCTCCGCCTATGACATTCCTTTGGATTTGAAAAAAGGAGGGTCTAACAACTCTTGCACCAGAAACCATTTGTGGTGTTTTACTTAACATTGGCAATTTAATTCGCATCTGCGTCAAAACTGGTTGGGGTTGTGGTTGTGTGTTTTGACCATTGTCGTTTGAAATGCCACCACTACTATTATTATTACCTTCTTCACATGAGACATCAGCGTTAGAAGTTGTTTGATTTTGAGGTACTATCTTTATTATTGAAGGTTCAATGTCAGTCTGATTTACAAATTTGACGTCAGATTGTTTTTGATTTGAATCATCGATTAGGTCGGTACTAGGTACCGTTATTAAATTTATAGTTTGTCCGCCACCAATATTTACAGGTATTTGTCTCGTATAAATAACACCACCGTGCATTGTTTGAATGTTCATAGGAGTAATAGTCTGTTTAATCTGTTGAACTAGATTAGGTTGTGCTTGCGAAGTTTGAGGTGACTTTCGTAATAACAATGGAGGGCTACTTATTTGTCCAATATGATCCAGGGTAATAGCGTTATCGGATGTTTCTGACTCGGGATTATCAGCACTGGAGTTCACTGATGATAAATGTGAATTATTATTGCTTATTTCATTCTGTTTTTGATTTCTTTCATCTTGAAATACTGGCTTGCCAAAGGCTTGATTAAATTTTGGAAGACTTGTAGATTTTTCAGGACTGCATTGTTTATTAGACGTATTTTGAATAAATTTTGCATAGTTTTCTTCGTAAACAGATCTAGATTTAATTTCTTGTTGAATAGTGGTAGTTTCTTTAGCGGACACAATATTTGTGGTATTGGTTGTAGGACTAAGATCGTCCGCCTTTGTCGGGGTGGTTTGTACATTTGTGGATTCAATAGGCTGCAATCTTAAAACCATACCTCTCTGATGAGGTGCGTTTAATTGTATCGCTTTTCCATCAGCGGATTTACATACGAATTGTACCATTTTTTGTTCGTTTGATCCTTGAACATTTGTAAGATTTGTAAGTAGATTAACTCGTTTGAGAAGTTGACTTGTTGTATTATTGTTCTTCTGATTACCAGTATTAACAATATGAAGAAGTTGATTGCCACCTTGCTGCAATCCAGCATCTACTAAAGAAAGTCCACCAAAAGAATTTGTATGTTGCACTGGTGTTCCGTTAGAATTCGCACCTGCAGTCGAGCTTTTGTTTTGTACAATATGCAACACAGGCGTAGCATTTGGTGTATTTATAACAGATGGCTGAGTATTGTCAACCAAAGTAATTTGATTTCCCGTAGCGTTTTTGCCTTGGACAATATGTAAAACTTGAGGCGTAACTGTCGCATTATGAGCTTGTTGATTATTATCAGAACTATTCGTTTGATTTAAAGGCGGGGGAAGAATTTGAGATAATGCCTGCTGTAAGGCTACAGCATTAATCGATGTTGTTTTAGAAAAATTGCTAATGGAACTTTGAGTAGTTGTAACAGCACTTTGATGGATTTTTTGCGATAAAATGTTAACTAATGCATGTGCTCTCGAATTTGTCTCCGCAGTTGTTGTAATACCTGCGGCATTCATAGCATGCGCTATTTGATCCGTTTTCTCTGATGTAGAATTTTGTCTGTTGGTTGACTCGAATAACAACGTCGGTTGTGAATCTGATTCAAGTGATCTAGTATTATTTGTTTCCAATTGATAATCAGAATCATTTACGTGTTTGTTCCCTATCGCTTGCAATTCTTTATTTTCAAGGTTTAGGTTTTTATCTACTTCAATATCACAAGCGGCCTCCTTTGATTCAATTTTAGTGTTGGATATAAACTCTTTTTCCGGTTGTAAATTATCTTCGTTTATTGGTATGTTAGTAGATTCGTGCGATTCTACTGCAATGTTTTCATCATGTTGTTCATATTCAGCAACAAGTGGAAGAGTAATATCAGCAGTTGTAAGTTCTGTATACTCGGTTTTAATAGCTGATTGCGAATCGTCCTGCGGACTATTTTCTACAGAACACTGCGAAGGACTTGCATCTGAAACCTGAGTTACACGTGGATCACAACTAACGGGGTTTTGTACAGCTGCACTTACTGCTAGCTGACCAACTTGAACCACTTGCACAATAGATTGTAAAGGCGGGGGTTCAATAAAATCTGGTACCAAAAAGTCAAAGGGATAATTTGTAAAATCATTGTCTCCGTCACATTTCCATTTAAAATCTTTGTCTTTAATGTTATCTTTAATCCAGTTATAGCTTAATTCAATAGACGTTTTCTTAAAATATGAACGAACTTTATCTCGTAACTGAATGTAGGTGATATAATGTTTTAGTTTCTCTTTTTGATCTTTTGTTGTTGATTCAGAGATATTTGAAACTTCAGAATTGTTTTTACAATCCTCGTAATTTTCGGATAGTAAAAACGGCTGAGAATGCTTTACGTCCGACAGAGTTGCAGCCGAAAATTTTAGACAATCGTCCCTCTTTTCTATCTTTTGTTTGACTCTGCCGGACTCCTCACCAAAACCCATATTGAAATTTGTTTCATTCATATCATTTGATTGTAAATAGGTCTCAGGATATTCTGTGGATAATTCTTCTGCTAATGTTTGTTTCATAGGATCAGGATAACAAATCTGTTCAGCACTATCGCCAAAAATATCATCAATCTCTGAATCAGGTGGTACATGATGCGATTCTTGTATTATAGGCCAGGCTTTGAACATTCTACTAACATCTATATATTCTTTCTGAAATGGTCTAGAGTAAGAAAATTTTAAGGAACTATAGTAATCGAAGAGGCGTTTGTATTCTTTACAATATGTTATATCATTTTTTGAAACACTAGTTTTTGTGTAATCAATCTTACTTTTTCTGTATCGTTTTTCATTCATTTTACAATCCAAACAATCACTTTTGCGTTTAATACCTCTTTTACTTACTTTTTCTATATTGCGACGTGTACTTTTATTTAATTTATCCTTTTTTGAATATGTTATTTTAGGTACTAAAACAGAAAAGTTTTCGTCATACATTGTCTCAATGTTAATTATAGAAGTAGAGGTTAGCGTTTCGTTAGCTTCATTATTGATACTTTGTGTTCCTTCTTGTTTTTCTTTTAATATACAATCATCATCGGAGACCTCATCAGAAAACACGGTATTTGTTTCCAAGGGATACATAATATAACAAGTTCCAGCTATGGGGTCTTTATATTCTATACTTTCTAACACAGCTCCTGATTCACCGTTATAAACAAGAGTTACATTACGCGAAACGTCGTTTTTTCCAACATTAGAGGAATCATTTTGAATTAAAGATTCATCTTTTATCTTAATCAGGCTATTGTTTTCATATGTAGAAATATCATAGAGGTTATTTAGGTTACATTCGTCTACTACTTCTCCTTTTATAATAATATTACGCTCGTTTTTAACTTCATAGTCATGGTGCGTTTCTACATGTGTGGTTTTATTTTGGCAAAGTTGTGAAATTTCTGTCTTATATGCGAAAGAAATATTTTCCTCTACCACACTTTGTTTCGATATACCATTAACACTTTCATTTATTTTCAAAGTTCTGTTATGATATATAAAATCATCATCTACAGATTCAGAGCATCTGTTATTACAGCTTAGGTCTTGAAAGATTTTCTCTCGTTGTTCTTTACATTGATGAGGAGATACTGAATTTGCATCATATACAATTTTATCTAAAGTTTTCAGTTCCTTAGATAAAGCTATGTCTTCTTGTAAGTTAATGCTTAGTTCATTACATTTATGTGTAAGTCTGCTAATACTTTCTTTTTTCTTGTTATATTGTTTATTTTCAGCTATCATTGTGTCTGTTAATGAATCAGTGACATTATTGGAAGAAGTTGTGTTTTGCTGGGTATCTATATTAGAAAATTTATTCAGTCTTTGTTTTATTTCATTGCTATTTATTAAAGATTCTTTCACCATTTTCGAGGTTTCAGCAACGTGAATAAGCTTTTCAGTATAATTAGCAGAAACGTTGTTGTCTTCGACATGGGAATGACAAGCTTTTCTAAGAACTTTTTCATGCATACACTCGCCAATAATACAATTTGTATTTGTTGAATTAATATCAAGTACTTTATAGCTTCCCTTTATAGAAACATCTTCTTTGTTGCTTACTTTTGATGTGTCAATAAGCTCGTTTGAGCTATTTTGACAATTTTCTTGACATTTCATATTTTGCTGATAAGTAGTTGTTGTTGACAATGGACCATTTGTATCAAAAATTATTTTACAGCCTAAGCTTTTTACATTACTTCTTTCACTATTTAAAGCTGATACATTCTTATTATTCTCAACACCTATCATAAGCTTATCTATAGAGTCATCACACACATCCTTATCGTTTAAATCATTAAGCACTTCCTCAACCTTGGCGTTATCTGTAAAACTTGTTTCTTTTGGGTTATGTAACACATATTTATCATTGTCACCTACTTCATTCTTATTGCTTGCATCAATTACATAAATTGTTGTAGCTTTAGGATTTATGGGGCCCATTTGTGAACTTATGGTTGTGACCTTATCCTTAGTATCAACTTTTGGTTTGTATTCTGGTAATTTAGTTACTAAACTTGATTCCTGTACAGGTTCTATACAATAAGCTTTTGAGATTTTATTCATTGAAGCTGTATTTTCATTAGGTGATAGTTTTCTCTTAAGAAAATGAAATTTGCGTTGTGTAACTGTCTTATTGTTTTGTGGATTGGGTTTTAAAATATCGAGCACTGTATTATTTTCGAAAAATTTTACCATACATTTTCTTAAGCTCATAACTTCTATATTTCCCATACTATCAGATTTACAAACATTATTATCTTGGTTTATTTTGCAACTGTCTACTACAAAACATTTAGTATCACTATGCAAATGCCGCACGTATTGATCAGGGTAAGAACTTGTAGCCGAATATTTACCAGCGTGCAAAGTTAATTGCCGCTTTGTTGCAAGCCAATCCGCATTACATTTTAAGACCAATGGTAAGCTTATATTGACTTCGTTTTTATTTTCAATTTGGTTTGTGGATAACTCACTCAAGTCTACTACAGAGTATTTAGTATCACTTTTAATATTCGTAGAAATGTCACGATTATTTTCAGTCTGCAAATTCCGCAAATCTTGATGTGTATTAAAACATTTATCAGCATATTTAACGTGTAAAACCATATGTCGTTTTGTCGCAAGCCATTCTGCATTACATTTAATAACCACTGATAAACTTTTATTCTGCTCAAATTCATCCTGAATTTCGTTTTCGGATAACTCACTCATATCTACTCGAGAATATTCAGTATCACTTTCAAAATTCGTGGAAACATCACAACACGAATGCCGCAAATCTTGATCTGTGTTTATACATTCATAAGAATATTTTACAGCATGTAAAATCAAATGTCGTTTTGTCGCAAGCCATTCTGAATCACATTTCAAAACAACTGGTAAACTTTTATTTAATTCGGTATTCCGAATATCGTTCAAAGATAACTCACAAATGTCTACAACAGAACATTCATTGTCACTTTCCAAATCCATAGAAATATCAACATTATTTTCGGTATGCAAATTCGAATGTTTGACATCATGTAAGCATATTTGTCGTTTTGTTACAAGCCATTCTGCATCACATTTCAAAACCGCTGGTAAACTTTTATCGAATTCAAATTGTTGGTTGGCGAATAAGTCACAAATATCATCCACAAAACACTCAGTATCACTTTCAAAATCCGTTGAAGCATCATCAAAATTTTCAATTTTTAAATGATGTAAATCTTGATCAGAGTCTGAAAATTCGGTTGAATATTTCATTGCGTATGCATATAATAGTCGTTTTTTTGTCATGAACCAATCTGCATCACATTGAAAAGCTACTGGTACGCTTTTATGAAAATTGTTTTCATTCTCTATGTAATTGACGGTTAACTCCTTAATAGCTGGCTCTGCGTTAAGATGATCCGTATTTTCGATGTACCTTGAAAAATCATCTAAAATAGAAAACGATCCACTCCGTACCAATTTTGACTCAGACACAAAATTATTTTCAATTTGTTTCGTTGGATCTGAATTGAAAACATCGCCCGTATCCGTGTTTTCTTTAATATCTTGTCCATATTTTATACAATCATCGTCAGTACTTTCTACATAATAAGATGTTTTCTTTTTAGGGTATTCCTTTAATATATCATCACATCTAATAAGTTCTACGAAACATTCCGTATTGATGTTTTTTAACTTTTTAACTAAATTATCACATCTGGTTATTTTCAAAGAGCATTCATAGTTATTCGCAGAGTCATTTAATAATTTGACAGGGTTAAGAACATCTTTTAAATGTGTTAGCTCCATATCTTCTACGCTTTTATTTAATTCAAGCTCGTTGGTTATAAATACTTCCCGCTTAGTTTGGTCATTTGTGCGGTCATTCTTTGATAGTACACTATCAGTTTCATTTAAACGATGTTCGATAATAATCTCCTCGAGTGGTAAATTCATAGAAGTTTTATCTACTATACCAGAAGATTCCTCTACAACTTCCGCGACACTTTTGCAAGATAAAGAAAGAGTAATATTTTGGGCATTTGGTACTTTATTATTTATATCATCACTTTTGAAGCTATTCGGCAATAAAAAATGATTTCTTTCTTCTGAATAGCTACAGGTTTCCGGAACTTTGCAATTACTCTCTAACGCATCAAACTTCTCAATGCTATATCTTTTTAGAAGCACCGAACATTTTTCGGATAACTTCTTTTGATGTTTTGAAAATGTATTTCTATCAAGAGGGGCAATTAAAAAGTTGCCATATTCTGTTTCTAGGTGCTGAGTAGGACCTTCACCTTCATCATCACTAATCAAGCTAACAGTTTCCATTTCTTTTACACTTTTAGCCCTGTTGGTTTCGTGTGTATTTACTTTAGTTTTAAATGTCATTTTTGAAGCTTTCTTTTTAATATTCAGAGTGCATCTGTTCGATTTCAAATAATTTTTGAGTAATATTGATTTTAATTCCGGATGTTTCAATATATTCTTAAGGTCAAAATTATTTTTTCCGGTTATCGTAGCTTTAAATTTTTTACCATTGGGTAACCGTACACGAAAAATTTTTTTGTGTGGTTCATTTTCATGTGTAGTAATAATCTCTTCAAATTGCACCTGATCCAGATCTTTCAATTCTTGTAAATTATATCTCTTATTTAATTTTTTTGAAATATCATTCTGGCAATCCTTAGATAGATCACTTTTTTGCGCTAAATTATTCGGCATCTCATTCGTAAGTAATACATTTTTAATGGAAGCATTAAAATTATCTTGACTATTTATTTGATTCATGCCTCTATTATTTTCTCCCGAATTACTTATTTTACAATCTACTATTTTAACATCTTTGTCATTTTTAATAACATAAGAGTAACTTTCAGAGCTTGAAGCTGTTGTATCAGATTTAAGGCATGTTTTGTTTCTCTCAATTTTTTGCACTAAGTTTGTATCATTAACTTCCATATGTTTTCGGTCGAGGGATTTCCCTAAAAGATTTTCAGCTTTGCCTATATTATTCTTTATTTCCGTTTCGTTTTGTTTCTTCCTTTTCATTCCTATAATCCCAGTTTTACAATAAGGTGATCCAACTGAACCCCTTAATGATCTATTTACTTTTGGTATAACTGATTCAAGAGTTTTACTTTTTAACTTTTTTGGTTCTTTTCCTTTTCGTACAAATTCACTTTTCTTCGCAACAATTTTTGTGTTATCATGAGAAAATATATCGGAATCCCTTGATGTTTCTTTTATTATAGGTATAATTAAACCAACAGTGTTATTACTGTATGATTCTTTTCCTTCTTGTGCACTTTTCATGTCACATACAACACTTTTGGTATTATGAGGTAAACCATCACAATTCCTCAAATTTATTTTAGGTTTAACTACTTTAAGTGCTTTATCTAGATTATTCTTTGGTTTTTTTCTTTTTTCTTCATTCTCACTTTTCTTTTCATCAATTCTGGTGTTATTTACTTTGGGTGTAGCCGATCTAAGATCTTTACCTAAATTATTATTTGATTCGTTCCCTTTTTGTTCATTCTCACTTTTCATCTCACTAATACTGGTGGTATCATGTGGTGTTCCATCAGGATCCTTTAATGTTTTACTTATTTTATGTATGACTGATCCAACCAACTGATCTTCTACATCGAAAAATTCAGTTTTAATTGGCAACTTTGGGCTCGCTAAAACATTACACTCATATTCTTTACTTTTTCTTTTAACGATTTCCTTATTCCTTGTGTTTTCTTTAACATTATTTTGATTCGAAAAATGTATACAATCCTCATTTGAAGATTCAACTTTGATTATTTTTATATCTTCTTTAGATGTCTTTTCCTTCTCTAAAATTGATGATACACATTTTACTTGTCGCTTTGCTTTTTTTAATTTATGGATTTTTGCTTTTTTATGAATAATCGTTATTTTATCTTTGACGTTTTTTGAAGATCTTAACATTATGCGACGACATGGTAACTTTAGAGTATTGTCATTCTCTTTATAATTTTCTGGTACTTGCAATTTTGTTAGATCATTTAAAGAGACATCTTCTTCAGAATTTTCTCTTTCTTTCAATTGCATATTTGCATTACCGGCATTAGAAAGATTATCATTTTTAAGCAATTCAACGATAATAGAACGCGAAGTAGTTTCACCTTCTGTGATTATTTGCTTTGCATTTCCTTTACAATGTGCATCGAGAACACCATATTCTGGTTTCGTTTCATTTAAAGGAGTGTAGGGTAACGGTATTGGTAAAATATTAGTATGATGACTTACTTTTCGACTTATTATAGCCAAACGTTTTTCTTTCAGTCTTTCGTGTTCCTTGGACACTTCAACCTTTTCATTAAGATCAGTTAAATTGCCCAATTTTGTTGAAAATCGACTATCAGTCTTTTCAGGCGATAATTTTTGATTAGCTTGCACTTGTGACAAAATTTTTCGTTCATTATTTTTATTTGTGTTTGCGTCCATTTTATTTTCATAATTTTTTTGATCATTAAATAAATTTTCCTTTACTACCTTTTCAAAATTGCTTTTGGTATAATCGTTTTTTGTCTTCTGACGTTCCATAATAGAACCAGATGATAAAGATTCACTGTGATTTCTTAAACTTAGTGGGAGATATTTCGTGTTCAGAGACTGTTGCGCCTCATCATTGGGTGCAGACAAAGTAACAGCATTGCCAATGATAACAGGTGTAACGACAGGAGCTGCAAACTGAGTCGTATGTAGCAAAGCTATGTTTGACATCGTATTTACAGCAACATAAGTATTTTGGTTAATATTACATACATTTGTATTTGAAGATCCTTGTATTTGTATAGCAGGATATGGATCGTAAACAATTTCTGAACCAATAAGCACTACATTTTGTAATGTTGTTCTTTGAGGTACTGTAGTGATAATCACATTCTTTGAATCTTCATGGCTATTTTGGCTGTTGATCAAAATATTATTAGAACTAGGTATCCGAAAACTCTCACTATTATTATTTACAGCAATTGGCTTCGTTATTTTTAGAATGTTTAAATCTTTTGATGTTATTATTTCATTACAAGGAGCAACATTATTGTTTTGTGAAATATTTTGTTGTTGGGCTGGCTGGTAAATTATCTTTTTGAGAGGTTTAATGACTGAAGTATGTGAAGGTGTTTTCTTAATAAGTTCACAGTTAACCGTGTCTTGAGATTTTAGATGTGGATCATTGTTTGAAGTTGAGGTACACGACAGCTTTGGCGCTGACTTTACAGATATAGTATCGATCGGTTTTCCTACATCTTTGGTAGATTTGGCAGGGCTATTATCACATGTTAAAACAGGGGATTGTTCTTGAAATTCCTGGACTCTCAATTCTTTACGAAATTGAGCTATTGTTTTAGGCTCACTTTTTATCGCAAGAGAGTGTTTGTTGTCTTTTTTAACACTTAATGCTACAGATTGATAGGTGTCATCTTCTGATAACAACTCGCCAATTTCTTTACGTAAATCATCATCCATCAGTTCTTCTAAGAGATCATAATCAGAATTTGGTATTCCTGATATAAAAGGGTCGTGGTTTTTAAGAACTTCAAAAGAAGTATCCTTCTTTGATAAAACAGGTGCTAACAACCCAGGATTATGATGTATATTTGCTTTGCTAATAACATTTTTGTTTAACCTTTTTGGAAGATCGATATTTACTGACTTTAAATGAGGATTGCGGTTCGTTTTGGGTTGTTGAAGTTTTGATACTTGAACAATGTTTTCATGTTTTAATTCAAAATCGTTTCCAACAACTTTGTCTAAATCTTTTTTGTCATAACTGTCGCATACAATTTTCTGATTGAGCTGATTACTTTCTTTTAACCGTTTTTCAAAGGAATCTTTATTTAAAGCAATGTCAAGGGCGTTTGGACCTCGGCTTGGAGTTTTGTGTTTTAAAATAGCATCCATCACACTTTCCCAATCTTGTTTTGTAGTATTATTTCCAGAAGAAATCCTTGGTGTGGTTCTCTTTTTTACTTGTGATTCTTTGTTATGGCATTTTGCGTCAAGTAATAGAGTATTATGTGAAATACTGCCTGTAGTTGTAATGTCGTATGATGATTGTGATGAAGAATGTATTAATGTTCTTGATGTTTGAGTTTTAATAACAGATGGTTTTGTTTGATCATTTTCAGTAGTTGAAGTCAGAGTTTTTAAAAATTTGTCCCTGTTAATTTCGCATTCACTTAATTTCATGTTTTTAACTGATGACAAATCAGAAGATTTCGAATTTGGAACAAAATTTTGAAAGGTGTTATTAATTTCTATCATGGCCTGTGGTGTAGGGTTAAATTTAAGTTCAGGTTTCGTTGTTGATCTTGGTGCATTTAGCCAATTTTTCTGTCGTAAAAGAAGTAATAGATCATCTTGATCCTTTTCTGCTAATAGTGAAGACTTCGAAGTTTCAGTTGTTATAACTTGTGGTCGACTATTGTGGATGTCTCTAATAAGTTCTTTAGTGACGTCTAATTTAGATTTACTAGCATTTTTTTCCTTTACTTGTAAAATTTTAGACAAAACTGGATGCCCGTCGGTAAAATTTGAACTTGACTTTTCTTTTCGTACATCTTGAGCATCTTCGGGGTTGTTGCTTTTAATAGGGTTTCCAACTCTAGAAATAGTTACACCTTTACCCTGCAGGTATTTAAACTTATTTAGTTTGAAGTCAACTATTTGTTGATCTATTTCAGACGCTGTTTGCTTTTGTTGATGAATCTGCTTGGCCTGGCATACAGCTGGTTTAGGTCTTACATCACTCTGTTTGCTTTTGTGCATATAACTTAGTCGAGCAAAAGTATTAGGTGCATTTTCAACCTTCTTTTGTTGTGACAAGGATTTGGCACATTGGGTCACAACTGCGGAATTCATTTTTGAAGTATTACAATGAATAGGTACTGTTTTATTAAGAGATTTTGAATTTTTTATAGTGACAGAAGTTTCATTTAACTTAAGTATTGCTTCTGATTTATCTTTGATTGCGCCAGCATTTATTGTTTCTTGCAATTCTTTAAGGAAATCTTTAAATTTATTTTGGTTTGTTATTCTTGAATTTGCTGAATTGTTACATGGCATATTTTTAACTAAAATCCGTGTTTCGCCAAAGCGTTTACTATGACCTAAAGCTATATTATTGCTACTTGTAACATTTATATTTTGACTTTCAGATTGTAAAACAGGTAGTGTTTTAATATCATCCGTTTTCAATTTCTTCATTGATGTTGACTTTGTGTATTGTGCCAAACCAGCAACAATTTTTCCAACACAACTCCTTGCATCGGGGTGAGGTGGAGTAGAAGTTATAGACTTATTATTTTTGACAAATAGGTTGCCAACTTCATTTTTTAACACACTCAACTGTTCAGACTGCTTTTTGTTAACGTAAATCTTAGGTATATTTAAATTTGCCTCCAATGATGAATTTACATTAGTTGGTGTAGGGCATACCTCTTTGAATTCCTTTTGCCTAGTGTTTTGGTGAAGTACTTCATAGTTTTTATCAGAATGTAAATTTTGTACTTCATTACGGATGTTGTGTTCCCTTTTGACGTTTTGTTCATTATTGGAAGATTTTAACTTTCTGAATTGAATCAGCTTTTTAATGCTCTGTTTGACGTCTTCCTTTACTTGGTTAGTGTCTTTATCCTTGCCGTCTGCATCATTAATACAATTATTATCAGTTACAGTTTGAGTGATGTTTGTTTTTGGATTTCCCATTAAGGAATTTGCACTGCTTTGAATATTGGCTATATCCATATCTAACACATGATTATTACTTACTGATACATCTTTTACACTTGCTAAATCATTGCAATTGTGAAGTGGGGTTTTACTGAGGGATTCAGTAATTTGAATACCTTTTTCTGGAGATTTAATTTCATCCATTGAGTACAATCCATCAAATACCACGTTATTTTCACTACCATCCGAATTGAATGACGTTACAGACAATTTTCTTTGACTGGAATAATCAATACTATCACAGCTTGTTTGTTTTTCTATTTTTGGATGTACATTTTCTACCCTTTCCACTTTCATACCTACTAACCTTGAAAGAGAGCCAACTCTTGGTTCTGACATGTGACTGATGTTAAGTTTGTCTCTTTTCTTGCGTTCTTTTCTTTCCTTTTTCTGTTCTTTTCTTTCGGATTTAACTTTATTTCGTTCACTGTTACCATCTTTATCTGGACCCGGTTCCTTTGTCTTAGATTTTATTTTTTCTTTACTTCTTTCTTTACTGTGTGGTCTCTCTTTTTTCTTTTCATGTCTTCTTTCTTCTGCAATTATGCTTAGTGGATCGGAATCTTCATCAGAATAATGTTGAACACGTTTGGAATATTTCTTTCTCCGTTGCAACACGGGTATATCGAACATACTACTTGAATTTGCACTTTCGGTCATATCAGGGTCTATAAATGCATCATGCCATATGTTTTCAACCTCTTGATATTCTACTAAGTGTTCATAACCTTAAAAGGACAAAAATGATATTTGTAAAACTACTTAAATATGAAAATTAAAAATGTTTAATACAAAATATCAAAAAAAACTAGACATATTGTCGTGAGCTTGCACTTAAAAATTCGTATTTGTTAATACCTTGTAATTTTAAAAACAAAACATCAATTGTGAGTGTCATTTTAATTTTCCTAGCAATTACTTCAAACGATTACTTTCAATTACATCAAACAAAGTTGTCTTCTTTTAAAAAATGTGCATGATCCCGAAACTTATTCGTTTATAACATATTATTTTAGCAGAAATTAATGTCCAACACATTCGCAATTGATTAGAATACTAGCTTTCAACACAAATAATAATAACAATTTAATTATACCCCTAAAAAAGTAAAAACCGTCGGGTTTTACCTTTTTCAATCCCATAATAAATGTTGTCTTCATCTTCCTGTTCTTCTGGTAAATGCATGAAGGAGCTAGGATCGAGATTCAGGTACTTGAGTTCTGTCGTTAAAGCGCGAGTACCGCCATGTGTGCGCTCCATGTATGTTCTACAGTTTTCCAATAAGACAACTCTGAAAATTATTAATATTTTATTTATATATGTTGTAATATCGCTAATTTTAAAATTAAAAATTATATTCGAATCATTATGCCAATTATGCTAACAATAAACTATTACCTATTGAAGTGACAGTATGGTTTAGGATATAGAGCGTATTAGCGACAGGCGATTATTACTTTAACTGATCGAATTAATCGATTTTTCTGTTTAGTCGATAAAATTCGATAAAACTCCATGTTAGTCGATTGTGATCGACTAACGGCGTGCGACAGGCTACAATAACCGACACGGTTACCGTGTCAACTTTAATTACTAATTTGTAGTGCAGCGCACATATTAACACGTACACGCACGTACTACTAAAAAAGTAGTTACTAAAGATAAGTGCGGCAGGCGTGCGCTGCGCTAAGTGGGTGCGCTACTACTTACTATTACTTACGCTACGTTTGCAGTTATTAGGTATGCGATTGGCGCCAATTATTCTATTGTCTGTCTTATATTGTAATCAAACCATCGATTGAGGGAACATACATTCGTTCGTCGTAGTGTATTAACGAACGTTGAAATGAATAGATGGGTAGGTAAGGAGTTTTTATCTAAGTAAAACTGAAATACTAGAATAAGAATTAAGTATAAAGGTTATAACTAATCGAATTATGTTTTACACAATATATCTTAATTAGTTATAGGTTTAAAAGAGATCAATCAGTAACTAGTAATGTCTCTAATTCCAATCTACCTTACCGATGTAGTAGGAACTTAATTAGGAATGTATTGTCCAATACAAGATTGGTGATGATGATGACAATTGTATTAAGTAAAACAAAATTTAAGTGTTCTTCTCAAATCAACTAGCTAATAAATAAAAAAAAATCTTATGAACCAGGAAAGTTAGTAGTTTGTTGATTGTTATTTGTATAATCATGGTGAAGAACTACCAAATTGACAATCGAATGCGCGATAGCACAAATTTCGATTCCGTCAATTGTTTTTTTTTTTTTACAACAATCGCCCATCGCTAGTGCGTATTCCAGTCATGTTTAAAATCCACCATTAGACTACTGTCGTGAACCTTCTCCTTAGATATCACACATTTAAGCTGACGATATAGTTGAATGTTTAATGGGATCTATATTTTAATATGTGAAGGAAAAATTTTGCATCTCTTTATAAACATATTGCACACACGGAGGAGTAAAATTTGACGTTTAAAATATATATATATATATATATATATATATATATATATATATATATATATAGAGGACTTTAAACTTCAAAATGCCAATGTCAAACACATAATAGACCACAGACTATTATGGATAAAGCCCTTATATACTTATATGTATTTTGTTTTACAGAGCAGTGCTTATGGCCAAAAAATTTTAAAATGTTACCAACAAATATCATCATCATCATTACAGCCTTTCACAAGTCCACTGCTGAACATAGGCCTCCCTCAAGGAATACCACAAAGCACGGTCCTGAGCCACCTGCATCCATCGACTTCCTGCATGTCTTCCATGCAGGAAGTCGATGGATGCAGTATGTCGTCACTCCATCTAGTGAGGGGTCGCCCTACACTTCGCCTACCGGTACGAGGCTGCCACTCAAGAACCTTTCTTTCCCATCGGTTGTCGGTTCTTCGAGCTATATGGCCGGCCCACTGCCGCTTCAGCTTACTAATCCGTTGGGCTATGTCGGTTACTCTGGTTCTACTGCGGATATACTCATTTCTAAGTTTATCACGCAGAGTAACTCCAAGCATAGCCCTGTCCATAGCTCGCTGAGCAACCTTGAGCTTCCACATCCGGCCAGCAGTGAAGGACCACGTCTCAGTTCCATAAGTCATCACTGGCAACACGCACAGATTGTATAGTCTCGTTTTCAAATTTTGAGGTATACCTGACGAGAAGATGTGCTGTAATTTCCCAAACGCTGCCCAACCGAGTTGAATCCATCGATTGACGGACGAAGTAGGACTTACCTAGTCGGACTATTTGTCCCAGGTAAACATACTCGTCAACAACTTCGAGCTTAGTGCTCCCAACAACTACCGGCATAGGTGTGACATGGACATTAAACATGATCTTTGTTTTGTCCATGTTCATCTTAAGACCTATCTGTTGGGAGACACTATTGAGGTCATTGAGCATAGTGCTTAGGTACTCTAGCGATTCTGCCATAAGGACTATATCGTCGGCAAATCGAAGGTGAATGATATACTCGCCATTGATGTTAATACTGTATCCTTTCAAGTCCAGTAGCTTGAAAACGTCTTCCAATGCAGCGGTGAAGAGTTTCTGGGATATAACATCGCCCTGTCTTACACCTATCTGCAGTTGGATAGGTTTCGTACTCTGGTTCTGTACTCGGATAGCCATCGTAGCTTTACTGTACAAACACTTCAGCACTTCGATATATCGATAGTCAACTTGGCACCGCTGAAGGGACTGTAGCACCGCCCAAATTTCGACAGAATCAAAGGCTTTCTCATAGTCCACATACGCAAGGCAAAGTGGCAGATTGCACTCTTCTGTCTTTTGTACAATTTGCCGAAGGGTGTGTATGTGGTCTATGGTACTAAAGCCTTTTCGTAATGACTCTCAAAAACAGCACGTAGACGTGGCTCAGAAGGGAAATCGGTCTGTAGTTCTTCAAGATAGCGTTATCGCCTTTCTTGAAGAACAAGACCACGGCACTTCTGCTCCACGCCTCCGGAATAGTACCACCATGGAGGACGAAATTAAAGAGCTTCTGAAGGACTTCAAGTACCGGTTTTCCACCCGCTTTCAGAAGCTCCGCTGTAATTCCATCCTCGCCCGGGGACTTGCCGTTTTTAAGGTGCTGGAGAACCATTCTAATCTCGCTCAGACTTACGTCCGGAATATCTTCGGAATAGTGTCGGATAAGACTCGCTCTTGGATCTTTACTCACACTTGCATGAGGCTCCAACGATGACGTGTACAGCTGCCCATAGAACCTCTTAATCTCACTCAAAATCCCAGGTGTCCCGGAAACGATGCTGCTACACTCGGTCTTCAGCTTTGACAGACTTTGGAGCCCTGGTTTCGCTCGATCGCTTCTTCAATATAAGCTGTATTGAAGTTGCGTAAGTCCCGCCGCATGCATTTGGAGATCTGTCTGTTCAGTAGCCTGTATGCAGTCAAATCTGTTAAAGACTGCAGCTTCATTTCCCGTCTAACAGCCATGAGATTAAGAGTGTGATCGCAGAGTTTTGTGTTCTTCAGCGGCGGGTCTTGCAGAAGACTTTGCTCCGACCGCATGGAGAGTTGCCACAAGCTTATCATTTATATCGTCCACTTCATTGCAGTCTTCCAGGCACTGAAAACGGTTTTGTAACTCGAGCTGAAAGGTTCAGTGTACCTCTAACCATTCAGTGATCGCTACCAGTTTTCACCTTCGCGATCACTGAAACATCACTGAACAGTTGTGGTCTGGTAACCGTAATGAATTCAAATCTCATTTTTTGTCGATTTTCTGTCGTTTGGTTTTTCTGGAAGAAAGAATTCTTCTAAAGAATCCCTCTTTCTCCATGAAGTCGGCCAGCTGCTGGCCCCTTGGGTTCTGTTGTCCTATTCCGAATTTCCCGACTTTCATTCAGCTCAACGTTCTCTCTTGTGCCTAGTTTTGCATTGAAGTCTCCCATTAACACCGTATAGTGGATTTTGGAGGAATGCACGGCTCTAGAGATATCCTCGTACATTTCCTCCACCTCCTCATCGGGGTGTGCCGAGGTGGGTGCGTAAACCTGTATGACCTTCAGCAAATACCGTTTGGTGATTCTGAGTAGTAGTAGAAGATACGCAACCCTCGTCGACACACTCCCAATCTTTACGACGTTGTTAACGAGAGACTTGTGGACGATAAATCCGACACCTCCTTGGGACAGATGGTCGCCCTCCCGGTGATAGAGCAAGTTGCCGGATTCGAGGATTACAGTGTCCTCCCCCTCTCTTCGGACCTCGGATAATCCTAATAATATTCCAGCGCAACTTGTCTATCTCTTCTTCCAGCTCCAGGATCTTCTCGTCAGTCCTCAGGGCGCGTGTGTTATAAGTTGCCAGGTCGAGTCGTCGTAGGTGGCAACCGAACCTCTACCGGAGATTCTTAGCACCCTCTGCCCCGCCGTTCCCATGGTCGCCACCGTAGCCAGGAATAGCGGGGCCGCCGGAGACTGGGGTACTTTCGTAACTTTTTTCATTGGGAGGTATACTGCCATAGTTGCCACGCTTGGCGAGCGGGTTGGCAAACGCAATTTTTTTTATTGGGATATTGCTGTTATCAGGAAGATGCTGCTGCCCATCCCCTGCCTGTTTCCCATTGTCGCCTGTTACGACACCCACGGGTAGATGGCTATTCTTAACCGCCACTACACGGCGAACCGCCACTACACGGCGACAACAACAAATAATTACAACTTAATTGTGTGATATCAAATGTTTCTTCATCAATAGTCTGTAATGTGTACGTCAAGGCTTAGTCAAGGCAAAAAGCGTTTATTTTATATTTACTATATGAGATGCCAGTGTTTTAATGTGCAGTTTAAAGTGAAATAGCTTGCTTAATATACAAAAATAAAAAATAATGAATTACGGTCGGATTTCGATCACAAGACGACCACCAGTATTAATAATTTTATGGACTAATTCCAAAGAATTTTATAATTTAAATAAACATTATTTATAATGTTAATTTAAACCTAAAATAAGTATTCCGACGGTTTCGAGTAACCTGCACATTGTCTATTGTCATAGGGACCAGACAAATGTGGTGTTTGACATCCTGATGTCATAATTAACCTGAACTACATTTAGCCTTTTGTTATTAATTTTGTCAGGATCAGGATTAATTTTATTCAATATGGATGAACTATTCGGTAAATAATTCTATAAAAAAATTATGGGATAATTTTGGCAGTAAAATTATTATTAGCAATCCTCATTTTTTGTAACATGAAAGATAAACATTGTATAAAAACGTACCTGTCTATATCCCATGAAAGTGTTTTATGTCTTGGTCCAGAGAGCAAGACAGCTAAATCTTGACAAAGCTCTGCACCAAGGCCTAAAGCTTCTCCTTCGGAAAGGACTGCAGTTGACAGCACATTTGCCTGACAAACCAGAAACTCGCAACTAAATTTGTGTATAAAATAATATGCAAAATAATGATATTTAAAGAAGCTGAATCTGTGTGAAGTTCTGCTCTGGTTCGAAAGCTAAGCAATATTAAGATTTGAGAGTGATGATTTTTTATGGTTTCAAATGTTCACTTTCTTCGCAAAATTTTACTGCTGTTTTTGGTACTTTTGGGAGATATCTCATTTGAGCACCTTAAGGCTTACGTTCTCAGAATTTCATTTTGGCCATGTTTCTCTCTATGATGAAATTCGTGAAAGTTAACCCACAACAGTGATTACTGAGGAAAATGTTGTTAATATAAGACGACTAACTGGAGAAAACCAGCACATCACTTGTAAGGAGATTCTAGGACTGAGATAAATTACATCAACATTTAAGTTAGAAAACTTTGTTACAGCTGGATTCCTCATGAGCTCACCCCAGAACAGTGGCTTAAATTGATTGGTGTAAAAAAATGATTGTAAAAGAAGGATCACGGATGTTCCAATGTTGTGTATAACTACATGAAATGAAACATGAATATATTGTTACATTCTGGAAAGAAAGCAACAGTCTTCTGTATGGGTGTTCAGGCGACAGCAAGCCAACATAATTGAGGCAGGCAAGAAGTGTGGACAACATAATGATTAGCTTTTTTTTGTCTCAGATGGATCCTGTTTGCACAATCCCACTTGATGAGCATAAGATAATTAATTCTGAGTGGTGAGTCTACACCACCGTTTGTTTGCCCAGTGTCTTTGAAAAAGTAAGGAAAAACCACCAAGAAGCGCATCTTATTGCACCATGACAATACTGCGGCGCATAGCGCGAACAAGAAAAAGTAATTTTTGCTTCTGAAAAGGTGGAGCTCAAGACCCACCCCGCACACAGTCTAGAACGCATACGATTCTTTATTATTCTAAAGCCGGCTATACATACATGTTGGCCGAGCGAAGGCGAGTAACAACATATGGACAGAATATTTACCTAGCCTCGCCATTACTCGTCGCCGCTTGCTGGGGAGAGCCAACGTGTATACGGTTCGTTTGGCGTGCCTTACCACAACTTTGGATCGCTCGCCACAACTCGTCTCACTTCGGAATAGTGTTGGTTTTTCTGCAAAAATCAAACCCACTCGCCTGCGCTCGGCATGTCGTGTCCACATGTTAGTTGGCCATGTCAGTATATTCACTCATTCAAACTTGGCCAACATGTAGACTGTAGCACTCGCCTTGTATAAATTTGCCTACGCTCGTGTTGGCTGAGGCTTGGCCAACATGTATCACTGACTTAAAAATCAAAGATTTGATGAGAGTTTTGACATTTACGGAACCAGAAAATGCCTTGATATCTTTCAAACAGAATGTGAAAAACATGCCCCCAGAGCAATGGTTGTTGTTTTCAAAAATGGTTTGAATTTTGAATGAATGAGTGTTTAAAATGTAATGGAGAATGCTGCTATATCTAAAGAATTTTTTTTTTAAATGGTTTTCACACCCTATCACACAAACAATATTCAATGAAATGTTAAATGTTAATTAAAACTTAAATTAAAAAATAAGTTAATTAAAAAATAAGCTGAAGTGGCAATGGGCCGGCCATATAGCTCGAAGAACCGACAACCGATGGGGAAGAAAGGTTCTCGAGTGGCAGCCTCGTACCGGCAGGCGAAGTGTAGGGCGTCCCCCCACTAGATGGAGTGACGACCTGGTAAGATATGCAGGAAGTCGATGGATGCAGGTGGCTCAGGACCGTGCTTTGTGGCATTCTTTGGGGGAGGCCTATGTTCAGCAGTGGACTTGTGAAGGGCTGTAATGATGATGATGATGATGAATTAAAACTTACATTATGCTGTATTTGCTTGATGTTCAATGTTTCAGATGTTTTCACAAAGTTTGTCTTAGTACAACTGTCTGTCGCCCAACTACCAAACTCCGGATTAGCTTCTGATGCAGATTCTTGTATTTCCTTAAAACAATATTTAAAAACAATTACATTATTTAGAGCCCATGTACAATATAGCAATTAATACAATATTTTCTAGCTACATTAACATACTAAAAGTGATGGGACGCTGTTTACAATTTAATTGTCTGGTGTATATGTTTATTTTTGAAATGACAAACTTTAAGCAATTTGGATAAATTCATACGGGTAATATAATTATATTGTAGACTGTGGGACATTTCATTCCACGTGGTAGAGCCATGCTACAGCTGTATTAGTAGTATAGTTGTGGCACGAATGGGTTGGCTCGACCGGGGTAGGACCACGCTCTCACAGAATACCAGCGTAAAATAGCAGCTTAACACTGCTGTGTTTCGTATGGTGAGTGTAGAGAACTGGAGTCCCTTTTTACTGGAAAAGAGGCATTCCATCTTAGTCCTCGCGGGTGACAAAGCATCTGCATTTTGATTCGCAAACGAGGATAGATGTAGATGTCTATGGGCCGCAGTAACCACTTACCATCAGGTGGACTGTGTGCTCATTTGTCACCCTATCCTATAAAAAAAAATCATCATCAATATAGGACAACACATCTGTAGCGCTCATGTTTGAAGTTGGTTGCAAGTGTCCATGACCTGCAATAGCCTCTCACCATTCATCAGAAGAACTGTTAGAAGTATAATTTCTAATGGATTGGAAAAATTTGCCTTTAGGTGGTCCTGACAAGACACAGACATTATCATCATTACAGCCTATCAAAATTCCACTCACATTCACCATGAATTGTCTCATACGAGGGGTATTTTTTTATTATTATTGTTATCAGGAAGATGCTGTTGCATATCTCCTTCTTTTTAGTGTCCCTTGTCACCTCTGACACCCACAGGATAGTATGGGGAAGTGGATTATTTTGTGCTGATGATCACAATACCACACGTAAAATAGCCTGACCAATGACGGTAAGCAGAGTGTTACAACAAGGTGTTAGACGTCTGGCGATGTCTTTCTTTATGTTTTCGACCGCGGCGAAGACTCCGAAATTTTTAAAAGATAAATCGGCTAATAGCTGCGCAGAAGACATACAATATACATACAGAGACACTCTTGTTGGTCCTTACCCGTGCCCGATGTAACGCTTTTATGATAAGACAGGTAAACGCACAACACATATAAACCAATAATTTATTTCTCTTGTATCCTATCAAAATACCCTCTTTGAAATGAGAGCCCTGTGCCCAGCAGTGGGACATATAAACGCTCTAACATTACTTACAGAACAACACAACAAAAACAGAACAACTAGTCAAAGCAGATTTTTTTCTGGAGAAAAGGTTGTGTTGAGTACGAACCGTGGTAGCGGCTACAGAGGGCAGTGTAGGCGCAGAAACTATTCGCTCGTACATCACCGACGTTGGATGAACTGAGAATGCAGTAAGAGCACACTCGTAGTTCAACCGAACGCTTTTCGACAGCAGCGACCCCAGTTGCGTGAACCATGAGCTTAGGGTCTGCTCCATTGCACGAGCTTCTGCCTCCTGCAATATAATATAGTAGATAATTTAATATAAAACATTTTTGTAAAGAATTATCTAGATTCATTATACAGCCTATCGAAAGTCCATAGCTGAACATAGGCCTTCCTCATAAATTGTCTCATAGGTGGGGTTTTGCCATAGTTTCCACGCTCAAAAGGCAATTTGACAAATGCAGGATTTTACGATACGACTTAGGGACCTTCAAGAAAAGAGCCTACTCCTTTTTAAAAGGCCGGCACGCATCTGCGATTCCCCTGCTATTGCAGTTGTTCATGGGCGGCGGTAGTCACTTACCATCAGGTGAGCAGCATGCTCGTTTGCCCCCTCTCATATAAAAAAAAATATCTTTTGAGTTTTATCAGAAAGATGCTGCTGTACCATCTCCTGTATTATTTTCTACGCGCATCTTACGTCACCTACAGGATGATATGGGGTAGCGGACCTTGAGGAATAGTATATATATATATATATATATATGGCTTTGCAATATTGCAGATAAAGTGCACTGGATAATTTAGGTCCTGAGCCAACTGCATCTATTGAACCCCTGCATATTCCATCAGGTCATCCCTCCATCAAGTGGGAAGTTGCTGATCACTAAGCTTCCTATTACAAGTATGCAACTCATGAAACTTCCTTCCCATTATCAGGAAGATGATCTCCTCTTTTAGTTTCCTTTTGTCATCTCTTACGACATCCATGGGAAGACATTGAATGGACTGAATTCTGTTAATCTGTCAAATCTTTGAAAACCACATGTATTCATCCTTTTTTTTTATTTGTAGAACACTCCAAAGAGTATAGTTATATTTAGAAAGGACCCCTCAGAACCAAAGAGTATATGATCACTACGTTTAGTCAGAACCATAGTTGTTGTGCTCAGAACAATTATTTTTTAAATGCTATTTATATGAACTATAAAACTCAAATTTTATTAGATAACTAAACTATAGTTACTAAATTACGCATCTTTAAATTAACAGAATTTACTTCAAATTACGAGTTTCCGCCTTTACCTATGCGTCGCGTTTACGTCACATACTTAAGTCTTATTTCCTTCGCCGCGTGAGTGTAAGAGGCAACTACAAATGTTAAAAAAAATTAAGTGGGTACAATAGAAAGTTTTTTGTTAGTCTTTATATAAAAGGTAAGTAATTACACTGTTTTTAAAAGTTAATTTCTTATAAAATAAAAAAGAATCATCGAAATCAGTTCACCCAGGAGGAGGTTATAAGGTAACTCATAAAAAAACATACAGTCAACTTTCTCCTGTTTGAAATCGGTAGAATAATGGCGTTGGTTAAAGATAGCGTAATAAAGTATATACCTATGATTTAATTTTTTTGAGGCTCCTACTGAGTATATCGATATAATTATATTATATATTTCTTTTCTTTATGAAAATCGAGTGTTTCTATGTCCTTGTTTCTTTCTTCATAATATTCATTTGATTTGCCTTAGTTGTAGAAGTGACATAATATTTAAATTTTTCTTTTCAGTAGAATTGTTTCGTTTTGTTACGAGTATTTATTACTGCTTGTTTAATAATGTTTGATGACTTTTTTTTACACACTAAAATATTTTTTCAAATAATAAAATTAATCCCTTTCTCTCCTTACAGTTTCCTTCCACTGCTGGTGGGGCCATGGAAATAAAGGGGAGCACAGAATTTTACTGTCACAAATACTACCCACCTTTGCAACGCTGCCCTAAACATCGCAGGAAGATTCTGCGTTCCACCGAGATTAAATTTAGAAAAAATGTTCGCCTTTTTCCTCCCACATTTTCTTCTTGTCATTATAACAAACACCGTTACATCCTATAAAAACCCCAACTGAACATAGGCCTCCACTATATTCCTCATAGAGGGTATACTTGTCATAGTTGCCATGTTCTGTTCCACGGTACACGTACCTTGTTACAAGGTACATGTACCGTGGAACTGAACAGTGGATCAGTGGCCCCTTACGAAACCCACGGAATGATATGAATATTCATACACCGCCACTACACAGTAATTGATAATTTCTCGAAACATTTCATTTATCGACGAATCGTCTTGCAATCGTCGTTACTTCATACAAATAATTCGATATTTTAATTGTTGATAATTTTTTATTTTTGGATAAGAACATAGTAACGACTAAATTATATTTACCATCTTTTAAAAAAATTGTCTTTGGCCTGACCTAAATATGTCCAATAAAATGTCAAGGTCTGAGAGGTTAAATAACATTGTGCACTTAAGTTGGTTACATGACGTAAAGAAGCGTTTCTTGAAGTGACAGGATTACTTGAGATTTTAGCGTTAATTTAAAAATTTAATGATGAAAAGAAATAATGATCACCCAGAAAAAGACGTAAACCACATTAGGTGTTTTTGTTTAGTAGATTATAGATTCATAAATTACATGAGACATGTAATGAGCCATAAATGAAATCCTCAATCAAGTATACAAAATGAACAAATTTTGTTGTAGGACTGGCCTGTTCATGTATACCTACAGTACTTGAATTTTATATTCTTCACAAGCTATAAAGTAACACAAGACTTAAGCTTCAAATATACAATAAAACAAAAGTAATCACTCTACCACCTTGTCTCCGATATAACACTTACGTTATTAGATGTGAGTGAGATGTAGTGCTATTGTCAAGCGATGTCATACCCATGCCCAAAAAATCATTTTTAACACCACCATATCGATAGAAATAGATTTTTTTTATTCAAAAGATTATAAATAATACTAATTGAAAGTCAATCTTAATTTACTTGGGAAATAACTTTTCACCGGTAAGAAACAGCAAGAAACCCAGCGGGACATTTTTTTAATAGAATAAACAATTGCAATCAATACACAGAACAAATTAGAAATAGCTTGGTAGCAATCACCTCATTCCCAAGGGCTATTGTCATCCATAAACCCCTTAATATTATATAACCCTTTTTATACAATCTCAATCAATATGCATAGGAATGAATATGATACTTGATTAGTTTATCAAATGAACTGTTTTATCATACCTTTTCAGTTTTCAGTTTGAGTCTCTCCAACTCGTTCATACCAGTCGTAATCGCGCGCACGTAAAGCTCACAAACGAAAGGCTTCATTTCGTCTTTACACTGAAAATAACATATAAAAATTACATTAGAAGATAATCTGCTTAACAGAATGTTAAGATATAATATTATCTATTAATCAAATTTATATATCATATATAAATGTTTTTTAACATAACCTCCACATAGGATTTTCTACTGTATGACCTGAAACAATTATTTGTAAGGTATACAAACACTTGTTCCGTGCGGGATTCGAACCCGCGGCCCTTAGCACTGCAACACAATTTCTAATGTTACCACTACTGTCCATGGTCAGTGGTTGTAGAAAGTCAACAACTACTAGGAGCAGGCAGGTGTCCGCCCGTCCGCCTTGATGCCGAAATTGGGCTTCGCAATGTCCTCAAAATATTTTTTATGTTTCAGTAAGTTTTCTCACAAACTTTTTATTTACTGCCTTGCACGTGGTAAAGGCCACCGCCTAAAAAAGTGATGCCGAGGATAGAATTCGGTAGGTCGCGTACTGTGAAATTTTAAAGAGAATTTCGACTTAAGTTTTTTTTTTATATAGGATAAGATGACAAACGAGCACATAGTCCACCACCTGATGGTAAGTGGTTGCTGTGGCCCATAGACATCTACATCTATCCTCGTTTGCGAATCAAAACGCAGATGCTTTGTCACCCGTGAGGACTAAGATGGAATGCCTCTTTTCCAGTAAAAAGGGTCTCCGGTTCTCTACACTCACCATACGAAACACTGCAGCATTAAGCTGCTATTTTACGCTGGTATTCTGTGAGAGCGTAGTCCTTCCCCGGTCGAGCCGACCCATTCGTGCTACAACTATGCTACTTATATAGCTGCAGCATGGCTCTACCACGTAAAAAGAGTTTTTTTTTTAATTATATCTGATTATTTTATGTTAAAATTCCATTTTTTTTTGTTTCTATTCAAATTACTTATATTTATTTGAACTAATTACTTATCATCATCATCATTACAGCCTTTCATAAGTCCGCTGCTGAACATAGGCCTCCCCCAAGGAATGCCACAAAGCACAGTCCTGAGCCACCTGCATCCATCGACTTCTTGCATGTCTTACCAGGTCGTCACTCCATCCCGTGAGGGGTCGCCCTACACTTCGCCTACCGGTACGAGGCTGCCTCTCAAGAACCTTCCTTCCCCATGGTTTTTCGGTTCTTCGAGCTATATGGCCGGCCCACTGCCACTTCAGCTTATTAATCCGTTGGGCTATGTCGGTTACTCTGATTCTACCGCGGATATACTCATTTCTAAGTTTATCACGCAGAGAAACTCCGAGCATACCCCTCTCCATAGCTCGCTGAGCAACCTTGAGCTTCTTCATACGGCCAGCAGTGAAGGACAACGTCTCAGATCCGTAAGTCATCACTGGCAACATGCACTGGTTGTAAAATTTCGTTTTAAAGTTTTGAGGTATGTCTGACGAGAAGATGTGTCGTAGTTTCCCGAACGCTGCCCAGCCGAGTTGAATCTGTCGATTGACGGACGAAGTAGGACTTACCTAGTCGGACTATTTGTCCCAGGTAAACATACTCGTCAACAACTTCGAGATTAGTACTCCCAACAACTACCGGCATAGGTGTGACATGGACATTAAAGATGATCTTTGTTTTGTACATGTTCATCCTTAAGACCTATTCCTTGGGAGACACTATTGAGGTCATTGAGCATGGTGCTTAGGTCCTCCAGCGATTCTGCCATAAGGACTATATCGTCGGCAAACCGAAGGTGAGTAATGTACTCGCCATTGATATTAATACCGTATTCTTTCTAGTCCAGAAGCTTGAAAACGTCTTCCAATGCAGTGGTGAAGAGTTTCGGGGATATAACATCATCGTCGTTCTTCGTCTTACACCTCTCTGCAATTGGATAGGTTTCGTACTCTGGTTCTGTACTCGGATAGCCATCGTGGCTCTACTGTACAAACACTTCAGCACTTCGATATACCGATAGTCAACTTGGCACCGCTGAAGGGACTGCAGCACCGCCTAAATTTCGACGGAATCAAAGGCTTTCTCATAGTCCACATACGCCAGACATAGTGGCAAATTGTACTCTTCGGACTTCTGTACAATTTGCCGAAGGGTATGTATGTGGTCTATGGTGCTAGAGCCCTTTCGGAAACCGGCTTGTTCGAGAGGCTGGAAGTGGTCAAGTCGTAATTACTTATATTTTAACAATATTATTTTTAAATAATAGTCTTCAAAACAATATTTATTGAAAACAATATCATAGTAAATATTATGTATCTGCATGTGCGTGCGGTAATACGCGCGTACGTTCGTACGCTATGCGCTCGTATGCATGCGTGCGAGTATGTGAGCACGCATGTGTGTACGTGCGTGTGTGTGTACGTGCGTGCGTGTGTGTGCGTGTGTGTGTGTGTACGTACGTACGTGCGTGCGTGTAGATGCGTGTATGTGTACGAGTGTACGTGTACGTGCGTATAAGCATGCGTGTGCGTGTGCGTGTACGTGCCTGTGCGTCGACGGCGGCGGCGAGCGTGTGCAGGTGGCGCGCGGTGGCGGCGGGCGCGGCCAGCGCGCCGGCGGCGGCGGGCAGGCGCGCGGCGGGCAGCAGGCGCGCCAGCGACCGCGCGCAGCAGTACAACGCCGTGCGCGCGCCGCCACCGCACACAGGCACCACCATGCACCGCGCTATTATTACCTAACATCAAACATTATCAACTTTACTTTTTTTTTCTTCGGTAAAAGACAAGTACAAACTATTATCCTTAATAACTTGAAACTTTGTTGCAGAACTTCAACTTTCGACAACAAAAAAGACAATAGTTTTTGGGCCCACTAGAAATTTTAACTACCCTCAATGGTATTATACAAAAAAAGATACCAATTTATTATTGTTAATAGCATAAAGATTATATGAAAATCTAAACGGAATCAAGAAATATAAAAAAAAGAGTTGTTTTGATATTTGTGTTCAGGTGATTGGTTCTGATAATATAATATTAAACAAATTGTAATACAGATCTGCCAATACGGAAGAAACTCGAATCGAGTTAACTTGAGTTGAAATTCACGAAACTCGAATTGGCGGAACGAAGCTATGTCAGGTTTGTTACAAATTATTTTTATATTTGTTCTTTCATCCAACACAATTATTATTACTAAACTTAATAGGTAGTTGTATCTTTTTGGTTTGCATATAGACAATCTTCATAAAATAATATCACTAACTTTATAACGTAGCTATTAATGTTATTAATAATTTAACTATCACAAATTATACTTCATAAGTTTATTGATATTACATAATATATCAATAAATTGCTCGAACTAGTAAGTCGAGTTCATCACTAAATTGCAGACAGATTGACCGTAAGATAAAAATGCGATTAGAGTAGAATTTTGTTACTCGAGGCACTCGAGTTAATTTATCATGTCACTCTAGCCACACTCGAGTTTTTGAGTTTTTCGAATTAACTATTTACAGTCCTTGCATTAATTGAAGTTTACTTGAGTTGAGAATAGCAATTACCTTAGTTAAAGCATTTTTAAATAGGTACCTTTATTAAATAAGTAATATGTGGCAAAATAAAATAAAATACAAATATTTATTATTTATTTATTTGTGGTACTTCCACGTTTTTTTTTTTCATGTCTGCAGTATTTCAAAATCTATAAACTGCTTTTTACATATCTTATAAATCACTTTCATCACAATTCTTTTTTTGAAAAGTTATGCCACACTGACGATTTTTGTTTTGATGTTTCATTGTTATCACTTATGCTCTATACAATACAATACAATAAATACAAACAAGTATGTTTAAATCACCTTTAATGTTATGCACTACTTATACGAAGTAACAAAAAATAAACAACTATGATAGCACAATCACGATATTATAAATCAAACTAAGTTCATCTGGGGGCACGGCAGTGCCCCCGCCAAGTCTTGCAAAAAAGCGGCACGGCCGTACCATCCTTTTCTCGAAGCAGTTCAGGCCATTTTCGAAACCCTATAACTTCGTTGTGGATAAAACTAGAAGCCTGAATTTTCAGTAACCAAGTAGGCAATGTATAAACTCAAAAAATTTCATTAAATTTGAACCAGTAGTTTAAGAATTATAACTAGTCAAATTTTATTAATTTTGTAACTCACTCACCGATCGATCATCAAAACTCTTAAGCTTCAAATTTTTGTTTAGTATATAAATCAAGGAAAAACTAAAATATAACTTTTATAGGCTGTAATGGTAATAACAATGGTAATGTGGATACAAATCTTTCCTCCAACAGGTGACCTATGCCTAGCAATGGACTTTTACGGCCTGATGAAGAAAATTATAGGTATATGAAGGAATATAACAACAACAGTAAAAAATATGGTATACCTGGGCAACGAGTGTAGCAACTTCCTTAGCATTTTTCCAAAGCTTCTTTTCCCGCGGTGACATTTCGAGGCGACTGTGCAACCTCTCTACAAGCTGGTAACCACTTCGGAGTGGTGCTTGTTTTGCCTATAAAGCAAAATTTTATTAATTATTTAGACGGCTTCAAGTTTTACCTCACAGCACCAACATTTACATGGAAATATCATTTAATTATAATAAAAAACCCTTTAAAAATATATATCATAACTCTTGCAGCACTCTTACCAACTCTATGCAGCGCGCCCGATTCTCTGCTTTGAATAGCAGTACAAACTCCAAATCCGTAAGAAGCTCCCACACATCCACCGTAAAACCCGCCTCAGTTTTTAATATTTCGACGAATGTTGCTTCTTTCTTCTCCAATTTTGCTACAAACAAAAATATTTCATTTATGATGGTTTTAGTAGCAATGTTAATGATGTTTTAGTGTCGTAGTGTTAATGGTATGATGTTTGTTATTCAATCACACATAAAAGGTTAAACAGATTTGAATGAAATTAGGAGCACAGATAGATCATGTTCTTGAATTGACACAAGGAATAAAGGTGTTGCTATTTCACACTTGCCGTGAGCAGGGGCTAGGCTAATAATTGTTTAGGTGTGTCAGCATGTAGTTTGATTATCGCTGTCTGCCCAACATAACATAGAAGGATTGAATTCAAAAAAGAAGGAAGGTTATATATCTGTGTTTAGAAACCATTTCAAAAAGGTTGCGAATTTTGTGCATAATGTCTCTGTTGTTATTAGCAGTTTTATCTGCCCTTGTTTAAGTTTATAATAGTAACATGTTGCTGCACACATTCTTGATGGTAAAACAATGTGTACATGTCCACTATCCCATATCAAACCGTATGTCGTAAGAGGCGACAGAGGGAAACAAATCAATGGGCACCAGCGTCTTCTTAATAACGACTAAAAATTAAAAAAACTGCGTTTGCCAACCCGCTTACCAAGAGTGGCAACCCCCTATGAGGCAATCTATGGGGGAGACCTGTGTTCAGCAGTGGACTTTAACAGGCTGTAACGGTAACAGTAATAATATATGTGCAGTTTATATATGACGGTGGACTCAGTTTCTAGGATCAAATCCCTACCAAAACCTTTTATGTATCTATTTTATTAAAATCTCGTTACTTAACCTAAGTCACTAGAAGAAGTTTATCAACAAGTGTGTGATAGAACACAATAGCTATTTACAATGCACTCTTTTAATGTAGCAATTTAGAAAGTGTCTTCGTTCACCTTTCTTGTCGAGTGCGTCGGCGTTCGTTACTACGGTAGCGGAAGCCCTTGCGCGGTCCATTACTGCGGAGACGAGTGCGCAGGCCAAGTCTAGGCATTTCTTCGACGAAGCCAGCTGTCGCAACCGCGTCACGAATATCACACCACGCTCCTCCTTCAGCCATTCTATAACTGTATTATATATTTGATTAGTCAATTCCCAAAGAGACTTCGAGAGAGAATAATGACTGAGGGTAGTGTTGTATTAGATTTGCTTACACAATATAATTACAAAATATAAAAGAAATAGGAGCGTAATTTTTTTTATTCTAATGTACAAAAAATATTTTATTATATACAATATTAAAAAACTATAATAAGAAAAACTAAAACTAAAAACTTAATTATCATACAGTCCTACTCCCTGCGGTATCGTGCCAAAAACGCTGGCTACGTTTCCTTGCTGAATAGCTATACTTAGCCTTTGAGTGAGAAACGAACCAGCCCTCTTATCACCAGCAGCAACAACCAGCCGCAGATAGAGTTCCTTTAAGAACTTCACCGCACGTGAACCCTACGGACCTAGTCTCTACAAAAAATGGCACAAATACGTAGTCATCGCTCAGAGACTCATATTTGCGCCACTTACTCAGTTCATCTGCCTCTGATGCCGCCCCGGCTCTAAACGAGGTGCCCTTGAGATTGGAGGCCGCCAAAGCATCTACGCAAGTAGCATCCCACACTAGGGCTTTACCTCTCTCCCAAGGGACCAATGTCATACCGTCAGGTCTCCTGCCATCGTCTCTATTCTACAAGGCTCTAAAACCGAGGGAGCATTTATAGAGACAAGAGCCCTTCCGATGACTTTGTTCAAAGAACCGTGCCGTGAACCCCTACCAGCACTTTTTTTACATGAAGTCTATGGAGCCCAAACTTATCGACGCTGCTATCACAGGGGTACTGATGGGGTTGACAAATCGCCGCTCCTAGTCGGATTCCTACGGCGATGCGCAAGCTTTCCCCATCAAGTAATGTGCCGAGATTACTTGATGGTAAAGCATGTAACCAGTGACTAGATTCCTTAATCGAAACAGTTAGAAGGCGTGCCTGATCTTGGTCACCATGGAAATTATGAAACAAATCTGCATGCTCTGTACCAACAGAATATCCCACTGTTTTAGTTGGTTAACTTCCAGTGGAACATTTTCAACGGTACAGAGCGTTCGCCATGTCTGCCTTGCCTCCGTAGCAAAACACAGGTCTACTTTATTATTTAAAATTATGTTACTTATGTAAGTCACTGACACTATGCACGGAACCAAGGAAAGCAGGCAATGCAACGCTAGAAAGATTTCTCACACCAATACCACCAAATTTTGTAGGTAAAGTAGCTTGAGTCCAGGCAGTTAGTTGTATTTAAAGTTAAATTTAGAATTTTTTTACAGCTATTTTAAGATGATTATATATCTTTTAAATATCCGAACATTTCCAGAATGGACTCAAGCGGAGTATGTAAATCTAGGTACAAGGAAACAATATTTTAAAATAGTAAGAGCAAAACAATGTGGTTTAAAAACTGATCAAATTTTGTTTTTAAAACAGTTTTAATAGTATCGAAAAACTATCGGGCACCTAGGAGGTAATCTGACAAGTGTTAATAAATTATTGGAAAAAAATATTTCACACTTATTGCTAGTTGGTTCAAGACCAATATTTTTAAAATTTCGAAAAATATGAGCAAATCACTGATGACGTCATCTGCTCTACCGCCCAGTGTACCGTCATCCAGGTACTAGACATTCAGCTTAAATTTCAAATTTGAAATTCCCAAGTATTCCCAAACTGAAAAGTGCTGGATCAAGTGGGTCACCCTGCTGAACACCGACAGCAGAATTGATAGTCTAGTTTTCGTAAAACAAGTTAGTTTTGTCTGTAACATTAGCCGTTACTTAGGTCAACCTTAACAAGAACATCTGCAACAGAGTTTGTAAAAAATGTACGCACTGAATGTACCGCCGCCTCAAAGCCACCTCTAGTGCCAAATCCTAGTTGAGTAGGCTGAAATTTTGTCTTAAGGTTAGAGATTATGTGCCTGCAAACTAATTTTGAAGTTAAGCGTCGAAATGTGGAACCAACGGTAATAGAACGGATACCGTTATCCTTTTTTTGAAGGCAAATAATCTTGCCCCGTATAAAAATGGAATGAACTTTGGATTAACATTACCAGAAAGCATAAAATTACATAATTTTGTAATGTCATTAAGAAGTACTCCGCCGGCGTCACCGGCAGAAGCGCTTACAAGATCTTTAAGATGTTAAGGTGTAATTCCGTCAATGCTACCAGCGAAAATAACACTTTAGATGCAGTTAGCTTCTAGTCTTTTTTCAGAAATTTGTAAAGATTGACCGAAGGACGCTTCTAATAAAGGATTTCAAGTGTTTCGATATTACGAGGAGCCAGGATATCGTCTGAGAATAAAATACGGGATGCATTTTTTAAGTCGCCATCCATTACTTTCGACTCAACTAGATTTTTTAAATCAAATTTAGGGCGAGATCGAGATAAATGAGTATTCTAATGTAAATATAGACGAACATGTATGCATAGATAGTTGGATGTGAAAGAAACAAAGAGAGGTGTGTCAGGGTCATGCCAAAAGAAAGTTCGTAGTCTGCCTACCCCTTTTGGTGACAGGCGTGAACAACTATGTTTATGTTATGCCAATATAGAAAATAGACCTCTACCAAAGTGCTAATGATGCTACATAGAAGTTGCGCCATTTATTAATTTGGAAATCTTCTCAAGTTATTGACGTCCACAGCTATAAGTCAAAATATTTTCTTAAACTATTTGTTATTTCAAGCTTCGAGGTTTAAAAGTACAAAAATAAACTTACATCTTACATCCCACTGCTGGACACAAGTGTGTTCTCTTTTCTAAGAGGACCGATAACACGCATTGTGTTAGCGCGGCAGGCTAAATTCTAAATAACTCTCATATTTAAAGTGGAATACTAAAATTTAAAAAAAATTATGTAATATTATGATGAACACTGACCCTCTTTATCGCTTGGCTTTTCTCCTGTAGGGTCTAAGAGTACTCTGAGAACCGGGTGTCCCCAAGGATTCGAGAGCACATTCTTGAACCACTCGGCCCTCTGCAGCAGCTGACTCTCCCAAAATGGATTGGTGCCATCTCTGCTTGCAATCGCATCCTGAGTTTCCTCAATGAAAGCTTCGATTGCTTCGCTCAATTTCACATGTTCGTTTTTGCTTTCTGGTGACTGCCATTCAGTCTGGTAACATTAAAAATAATGATGTTTTGATATTGAAAGAAATGGATTATGATAATGAGTACTGATAATGAAAGTTTGATGAAGAAAATAAAACTATAATTGTGCCACAACGGGGTAGCCTAGATGTTGAGCATATGCCATATTTATTTGTCATCTTTTTTTAACTTATTATAAGGCTGTGCTTGATGCGTTGGGCGTGGGCCTGGTGGTAAGTGGTGATACAGCCTTACATGATAAATCGCACTGTCTTAGCATAACAAAAGCCTAATGATTTCTTATATTTATGCGAACACTACACATTTAAATAAAACTAATATAGGATATAATTAATATAATAAAATCCCAACCAAAGCATACAACTGCAAGACTTCAAGAAACTGGTTAAATATGACATTGGGACGTCATACACCTGTCCCCCCCCCCCCATGACCATGGGTGCTGTAGTGCTCGAAACGTCGAGAATATAAAATAAGTTAATAATATACGCGGTAAAATCCGTAAAATTAGTTTTATTTAAATATAACAAAAGCCTATTCACTCTTGCCTTGAAGACGCCCAGATTGTAATCCGACGGAAAGATAGACGCCGGCAAATTATTCCACTCATTTGCTGTACGCATTACAAAAGAGGAAGCAAACCGTTTGGTTCTCATGCGTGGAATATCGACAACAAAGAGGTGAAGACCCGCCGACCGCGTGTTTGTCCGATGGTGGAAAGGAGAGGGAGGAATTAAAGCGTATAATTCCTACGAACACTCACCGAAATGCATCCTATAGAATACTGAGGCTGGCTACTCTGCGCCTGTGCTTGAGGCTGACAAGATTGATTTCAACCAAATCAAGGTTACCAATGATCCTCTTAGCACGTCTTTCCACTCAGTCCAACGCATATATTTACACAATATCAATTAAAAGCCAGTCTTTTTAATATCAATATCTTATTTAGGTTACCAAGATAAATGTTATCGTAATAACAGAACAACACAAACGCAGAGTGAATCCTTTGGCAAATGATTTCCACCAGTTACATAATCACACTACTAATACTGCTCTGCAGCCAATATAGTGAAGCAGACCCTCTCTAGGCTCTTGAGGAGAGATCCTACCTGAAGTATAGTCCGCGCGGTGTGCCTCTGCAGCCAGCTGAGTAGATGCGGATGTGTGGTGTGGGCGGAGTGTTGGCACAAGGCATGTATGCGCCGCCACGCTTCACAGAGGTGCTGCACGCGTTCGTGCAACTCCCCTTCCCCACTCAGCCGGCCATCTAGAGACTGTCAAATTAACAATTGAGTATAAAGTTTTAAACTCAAATAAACTCCTCCTTTACTTAAGAGTAATATTTTGCCGAGCCTTGGTAGCATAGGGGTTAAGCGCTAAAGTACGCGAGTTACCCGGGTTCGATCCCCGCCTGCACCAATGAAATTGTTAATTGCTGTAATTATTTCTTATATTTACGCGAACACTACACATTTAAATAAAACTAATTTTACGGATTTTATCGCGTATACTAACTTATTTTACATTCCCGACGTTTCAAGCACTTTACAGCACCCATGGTCACGGGGGGGACTGAGGTGTATGACGTCCCAATGTCATAGTTAACCACGGCTACCACCAGATTAAAAACCCCCGCGACCATGGGTGCTGTAAAGTGCTTGAAACGTCGGGAATGTAAAATAATTTAATATACGTGATAAAATCCGTAAAATTAGTTTTATTTATAAATTGTTAATTGCTTATTTACTATGTGCTCGGCGGTTAAGGAAAACATCGTGAGTAATAAAAAAAATATTTCGAAGGCATGTAAAGGCGTTTCCTTACCCTAAACCCTCTCAGAAATGAGAGGAGGCTTGTACCCAGCAAAGGGACGTATAGGCTGTAACTTAACTTTTATTTAAAATAATATTAAACTTAATATGACTATGTAATCCGAGTCGATTTTTAGAACTTTCGAATGCTGATGATAGCTTTACAAAATTAAAGTTGCGCCAATAAGGAACATAGTAACTCTTCGAATATTAGAGCTTCTAGGAGCTCAATTATGGGCCAATTTATTAGGGAAGGTCAAGCATTCACTTCAAATTCCAGAATATAATATTTATGCATAGATGGATGCAACTATAGTCTTAGATTAGCTTCAAAATAATCCAAACTATTGGGCTACCTATGTAGCAAATAGGGTTACAGATGTTATTAGTCAAGTAGATAAAAGCAGATGTCTAATGTAATTTCTCAGGATAATCTAGCATATGTCATCTCTCATGGATTAATACCTTCAGATCTTGCCCATCATCAGTTATAGTGGAATGATGCAAGTTGGTTAAAAGAACAGATAGTTACCTCTTCGATACAGTGGGGTTCAATCTGTTACTCCAACAGATCATAAAATTGTGACAAAAGACATTCACACACATTTCTGTGCCTACAACATTAGACGCAACTATACCTAGCACACTAGACAATGAGATATTGAAATGAGTAATGAATACTTTAGTTTATCAAAATTGTTAAGTCTGAATACTGCTAATAGATTCTTTTATAAATGTTAAAACACTATTGTACCATATTATATTCAGTACCTACATTTGACTTCCAAGAGAGTTAAATAACACTTTAAATATAGGTATTTGAATACCATGAAATAATTATTTTCATAAAGAAATTATATAGTTAAAAATACTCAAAAATTAAAAAGAACTTGTAAAATCATAACTAATAATACAATACTTTGTACATATGAAATTCAACATTATTTGAAATTTTGATTCAATAAGATACCTAGATAAATATTCTAGATATAAGTGTTTTCATTTAATGGACAAACATAGTTAAATAGGTTGTATATTTGAAGTGGATGCAAACGTACCCTAACAATTTTTTTACAAGAACTGACAAGTCAGCCACAAAACATTACAGAAGTATGAGTGACAGTGATGACTCTAAGTTATCACTGTCACTCATACCTGTTAGCCTATCTCTTTCTAAAGATTGAATTGTAATATTTGAGGGGTACTGTAAGGACTTTGTACAGCAGGTTATTAAAAGATGTGACATGGACGTTACACAAGATCTCTTTTGTACATGTTCATCTTAAGATCTATTGAGGTCATTGAGCATAGTGCTTAGGTCCTACAGCGATTCTGCCATAAGAACTATATCGTCGGCAAATCGAAGGTGAGTGATGTACTCGCTGTTGATGTTAATACTATATCCTTTCCAGTCCAGTAGCTTTAAAACGTCTTCCAATGCAGTGGTGAAGAGTTTCGGGGATATAACATCACCCTGTTTTACACCTCTCTGCAATTGGATAGGTTTCATACTCTGGTTCTGTACTCGGATACCCATTGTAGCCCTACTGTACAAACACTTCAGCACTTCAATATACCGACAGTCAACTTGGCACCGCAGAAGGGACTGTAGCACCGCCCAAACTTCGACGGAATCGAAGGCTTTCTCATAGTCCACATACGCAAAGCAAAGTGGAAAGTTGTACTCTTCGATCTCCTGTACAATTTGCCGAAGAGTATGTATGTGGGCTATGGTACTAACCGGCTTGTTCGGGAGGCTGGAAGTCGTCGCGTCTGCATGCGAGACGATTCGTAATGACTCTCGAAAACAGCACGTAGAGGCGACTCAGAAGGGAAATCAGTCTGTAGTTCTTCAATAGAGCGCTGTCGTCTTTCTTAAAAAACAAGACCATCTCACTTCTGCTCCACGCCTCCGGAGTAATGCCACCATAGAGGACGGAATTAAAGAGCTCCTGAAGGACTTCAAGTACCGGTAATTCACCCGCTTTCAGAAGCACCGCTGTAATTCCATCCTTACCTGAGGCCTTGCCGTTTATATGATGCTGGAGAGCCATTCTAATCTCTCGCTCAGACTGACGTTTTTTTTTTATAGGATCGGGTGACAAATGGCTGACAGTGGGCTTTGAAGGAATGTTTGGCTTTAGAGATATCCTCATAGATTTCCTCCACCTCCACATCGGGACGTGCCGAGGTTGGAGCGTAAACCTGTATGACCTTCAGCGAATACTGTTTGATGATTCTGAGTATCTTTACATTGTTGTTAACGAGACTTGTGGACGATAAATCCGAAACCTCCTTAGGACAGATGGTCGCCCTCTTGGTGATAGCACAAGTTGCCGGATTCGAAGATTACCGAATCCTCTCCCTGTCTTCGAACCTCAGATAATCTTATTATATCCCAGCGTAACTTGTCTATCTCTTCTTCCAGCTCCAGAATTTTCTCGTCAGTCCTAAGGGTGCGTGCGTTGTATGTTGCCAGGTAGAGTCGTCTTAGGTGGCAACCAAACCTCCACCAGAGATTCTTATAGCAGAGCACCCCCTGCCCTGCCGTTGCCATGGTCGCCACCATAGCCAGGAATAGCGGGGCGCCTGGGGCCGTCTCTTCGTAACTTTTATTATGGGGGGGTTTTTGCCATAGTTGCCACGCTTTGTGAGTGGGTTAGCAACTGCAGTGTTTTTATTGTACTATTGCTGTTATCAGGAAGATGCTGCTGGTCATCTGCTGCCTGTTTCCCACTGTCGCCTCTAACAAGACCCTTTTCAGTGAAACGTTAGCCGCCATGCTGTTCAACTCGTGACTTCACTGACCTAGAATTTTGCCATTTTTGCAAAGGAATCAGATACATTTTGATGTTTAATAATGAGTTATCACCTATATCATTGTTGTGTTGTGCCTGAATACAAGCATAAAGCAAAAATACAAGCATAAGAACGCCGAGGAAGTTATCGATTGAAGTGCCAACTGATTTAAATATGAGAAATACTTGGTTAAAACTGACAAGAAGACTATACTTCTGTGAAGATCATTTTGATGTATGACTTATATTTAACTATTGTTTATACAAAACAAAATATCAGGAAGTGATAGGTATTACAAGTCAAATTTTGTAATAGATTATGTTATCTTAGATATTACAAGTAATGATTGCTAATGATTGTAATCATAGATAAACTTAACTATGTATTATCAAAATACACTCTGACCTCATATTGTTTTATTGTATAAACAAAAGTTGGTAATAGGTACTTACTTACATTGATGTCTAAACATTTCTCAACTCAGTAGAACAAAAATCGGGATTGTATCAAAGAGATAATTTTATGCATGCAATCCATTGCATGCATAAAATTACCTCACACAGTAACAAATTTTGCCACTGTCAATGTATTTATCCTTGGTAGAATAGTACTTTCTGCTTTTATGAATCTGTCTTCCATGATGTCATTTCAATAAAATACAGAATAAACTTGAAAAAATTCGAAATAACACACAGCACATTAGCTAGTTTACTTAACAGTTTATCATTAGATACTGATAGATAATATGGTGGACAGCGTTTTGCAGATTTGAGCACAGATAAAAAAATTATTCTTAAAATTGAAATATTTATAATACATTTTTATAAATAGAAATCAATATTTCTCATTAACTTTTTCCAAAATCTATCATAAATATATATTTTTTGATTTTTTTTACATGGAATAAAATACCCTATTGTATTGTATAATATACAGTGTTTTGCCTCTACACGAGGCATCCTCAGGTGATATAGACTCTACGGTGGCTAACTGCTTAGAGGCGAAACACGTGTCGTATTATCGTCAGTGGTGTGTCTTGCCTAGTGTAGTGGTGTTGGGAGTAGCGGTGCTGGGATTAGTCGTGACGGGAATAGTGCACGCAATTGAAGGAGGGCGGAAGGTGCTCTTCATACTAGGTAAGACACATCATTTTATTTTATAATGCAGATATTTGCGAAGTAAATTTTTCTAAATTTCCGCAAAGTAACACCTGATTCTATTAATTATATTAAAAAACATATGTCCACTGCTGATAACATATGAAAACAATATGACGTTATGGATGACATCAGATATTTTTTAAAGATGGTTATGAAACTGGGATGCTGATTTAAAAGCAAACAATAAGAAAATTCTACTTTTGGTTGATAATTGTCCTGCTTATCCGGCTGTTACTAATCTGAATTGCATTAAGCTTATGTTGTTATTGTTTTTACCATCAAATGTTACATCTGTATTGCAACCTATGGACCAAGGTGTAATAAGATATTTCAAATCTCATAATAGAAGACTGGAAGTGTTCAAGTTAATACAAAACCTTGACAGTAATGACCAGAAAAGCTTTACAGTTCTTAATGCCATCTTGATGATATCAGAAGCATGAGAAAAAGTTTTACACAAAACTACAGCCAACTTACCAGCTTTAGACATGCACTTAGCCAACTACAAAACTACAACAGCTTTTAAAGCCTTCTGAACAATATCCTCAGATAATGTAACTGATAATAATGAAGAGGACACTATTTCTTTGGCTCAATTAGCCCAAAATTTACAACCTGCTTTATCTACTACTGAAGGAGTTTATTGATATAGATAACTCTATTGCAATTTGTGCACCAGCCATTAGTGTATTTCGAAAGATTGTTCTTTATAATGATCAGTTTCACATCCAGGGAAATTATGATGATACAATAATCAAATATGAACTATAAAATTTGTATGAATGACATAAGTGTTCCAAACAGACTAAAATTACAGATTTTATGAGTACAGAAAAATGATAATGTTCTTTAATATTGTATGTTTTGAGTGAAATTTTTATATACCTGCACATTCTTAGTATTGTACCTCAAAAATATCAGCTGTTCGATTATCGGTTTTTACAATCAAATTAGAGTGGTAACTTTCGATGTGGTTATAACAGATTTTGACTGTGTATTCAATATAATACATATGAATTTTTCTCATTAAATAAACTCGCCTACTACTAATTAGACCTAAATTTATTACATACTAGTATTTCTTTATCACAATAACAACAATAAAAGTTAATGTTAGGCCTAATTGATTGAAATGTTTATTTTTAGTGTGTATTTACAAAGCTTATTGTTACATTTTTTTTTTTATAAGATAGGGTGACAAACGAGCACACAGCACACCTGATGGTAAGTGGATACTGTGACCCATAGACATCTACATCTATCCTCAATAAAGACTCAAGATGCAGATGCGTTGTCACCCGTGAGGACTAAGATGGAATGCCTCTTTGCCAGTAAAAAGGGTCTCCGGTTTTCTACACTCACCATACGAAACACAGCAGGGTTAAGCTGCTATTTTACGCTGGTTTTCTGTGAGAGTGTGGTCCTTCCCCGGTCGAGCCGACCCATTCGTGCTACAACTATACTACTAATATAGCTGCAGCATGGCTCTACCACGTAAAAATTATTTTTTTGAAACCTTTTTATTTTTAAATAGAATATCTGATATGAATATATTTATGTATAATATGTCTTGTATGTATGTGTGTATATCCCTAAATGTATATATAGGTATATTTATGAGCAACAAAAAATTTTTAAATAAATTTCAATTTATTAAATAATTATTTGAAATGTATTTCACAGACACATCCAGGCGGATCATGCGTGTATCTGTGGTTATTTATTTATTCTTAATTGCACCAAATATTTGTACAAAAAGCGAGCTTAATGCTATATGGCATTCTCTACCAGCTAACCTTGGGTAGAACAGAGAGTGAGTTTGGGCAGTGAAGTTGTCATGATATAATTCAGTTCAAATATATACATGCAACACATACATAAAATATACACATATATATAAAATATATAAAATTCATATACATATATAAATAAATACACACATTTATACATATATATCTCAATAAAGAATCATCAGCATTGTAGGTTACCCTGCAGCTTTACACTGTGTAATAACTTTTTCACTGACTTGATACACACCCATCTTTTGTGATTTTAATCTACAATACTTTTAATTGTTTATTTTTGTGATGTGTATGTACAGTTCCAGTGAATAAATGTCTTTCTTTCTTTCTTTAAATTTTTAAATATCAAAACTATAAAAAATAAGTCCACTTTCAATCGAAATGTTGTGTAAATCACTACATATAACTTTATGTTTTAATTAGCTATTTTATTGGTACAATTAGTACAATTTATTGCAATTTGTGGGTTGAGCAGTAAACATAAAAAGATAAAAATAAATAAAATTTACACCATTTCAATATAACTTTTACTAATACTTAAAAAATCCAAACTTATATTAATTGATAAAGTAGGGATAATTAAAGCACACTGGTATAGGTTTGTGGTCCAGAAATTAAGATAATACATAACTGTAATTTTTATGATGATATTTAATTAAACTTAGGAACATAAAAGCAAATAACAGGAACACACATTTGAGGTAAACTTAGCAAGTATGTACCTATATAACAATATAATTATTCTCATGTACAAATCTTAACAGTAGGCACAATATGTACAACTCTATCATTATGATGACAAATTAGTTGTCAGTTTTAGCTTGGGTAAAATTTTGATAAAATACTATTTAACTTTATTGTATTACGTGAGTACAAGGATTGGAAGAATGGCAGACTACATCATATTTGATGGCTCATAGATACAAGATGCCTGATATCTTTAGGTTTGAGAGACACTGTACCCCAAAAATACTTGAGCTACTTTGTACAGAAAGTCATTTACAAAGATTTATCATCCTACTTCATAGAAAATAACTTGGTATCTATCAAAATATACGAAAACAAGAGTTCGTAGATTGCAAATATGGCGGCCATATAGTGAACTTTACAATCACAACGGCGTCACAGTAATCTCTTAAATCTCCAAGATTATTGAAAATAGATTTACCTTATAAAGTTCAATGTAAAATGATTTGCCTTTTGGGCCACTTGTTTGATTACTTTTCACGTTTTTTCCATCATTTGTAGAAGTCATTTCTCAAGAAAATATCGCGGAGAGACATTTATGCGCTTGTGTTTTCGTAATGGTGCTGTCAAACTTAGTGTTGCACTATTCTATTAAAAATCTGAATTTCTCTATTCATAAACCTCTATTTTTTTTATTTAATTTTTCTATTTTTAGCTCTATAGTACCATAGAGGAAAGTCTACGTCGCAATCTAATATAAAGTATTAGGTCGTCTACATAAAAGTTTATTGTACAGTAAGTGTTAAAAACCTGTGTGACTGTGTGTGACATAAAAAATCTTTGTGACACTGATGCCCACTGACGCCCATGCCCAACAGCATCGTTCATCAGAGATTCTGACTCTCTATTCTACTTCACCGTTCTGTTTTCACTTCATCTTCTTTCACTGGCCAACCAACCCGCTTCGGGAATGGGCTGCCTGAAAAGTTAAGACATCCCACCATCAAATATACATTTAAAGAGTTTGTTATCTTCATCATCGTCTTCATAATAGTCTTTTTATACTTGTTTTTGCATAATATACAATTTCAGTTATATGTACAGTATATATTTATTTATGTTCATAGCGATATTTGCCATAGGAGCATAGCAGCGCACTTTGAGTTGTTATCAGAAAAATGCTGCTGCCTCCCTCCTGTTTCAGATTGCATTAATTAATTAATATTTTTCACCGCCATGGAATTCAAAATAATGTTGTAGATTCATTTAAGAATATTGACAACTTTCTTTTTCAGTTTTCTTAGAATTACCCTCATTTTGGTTGTCTTCTTCAAGAACCTGTGCGTAACGGAAATCGTAAATAATTTGGTGGCATAGACATACAAGGGTAATTTATACATATTTTATCTGGTCGTAGCAGTCATCAGTATAAAATTAAAATTAGGTCATACCTGTTCCATTTTCAGTTTTAAAAAAGTTCATATAGTAGCACACTTTTATCAGTGTTGCCTTTTTCTGCTATTTAATGTCATACATGCGTACAGCTAAAATTATGCACTGAAAACATTCTTTAGTTAATTAATAAAATCAGGCGTTACTTTGCGGAAGTCCATTATATTAAATTTGACAAAAAATTACTTTGCGTACATCCGCTAGATAAAATAAAATGATGTGTCTTACCTAGTTGGAAGAGCACCTCCCGCCCACCCTCAATTGCGTGCACTATCCCCGTCACGGACGTATGTACGTGTATGTCGGTAAGACTCATCATTTTATTTTATCTAGCGGATGTACGCAATGTAATTTTTTGTCAATTTTAACATTCTTTAGTAGCAGAAGGCACCCACATTAAATTATGATATATTCAAAACTCCTCGGAAATAAAAAAACAAATTATAGAATGTGGGTGACAAGACAAACGAGCGCATAGTCCACCTGATGGTAAGTGCATGCTGTGGCCAATATACATCTACAGCTTCGATTAAGAATCAAAATGCAGATGCATTGTCACCCCTGAGGACTACAATTGAATGCCTCGTTTCCAGTGAAAAGGGTATCTGGTTCTCTAAACTCACCATACGAAAAACAGCAACATTAAACTGCTATTTTACGCTGGTATTCTGTGAGCGCGTAGTTCTTCTACACGAAGGACCACAGCATAGTTCTGCCACGTAAAATCAGTCGAATCTTTTCCTTTCTTTCTGAATAATGCCGATTATTTTTTCTAGAATGAGAAATATGTCATCATCATCATCATCATTACAGCCCTTCACAAGTCCACTGCTGAACATAGGCCTCCCCTAAAGAATGCCACAAAGCACGGTACTGAGCCACCTGCATCCATCGACTTCCTGCATATCTTACCAGGTCGTCACTCCATCTAATGGGGGGACGCCCTACACTTCGCCTGCCGGTACGAGGCTGCCACTCAAGAACCTTTCTTCCCCATCGGTTGTCGGTTCTTCGAGCTATATGGCCGGCCCATTGCCACTTCAGCTTACTAATCCGTTGGGCTATGTCGGTCACTCTGGTTCTACTACGGATATCCTCATTTCTGAGTTTATCACGCAGAGAAACTCCGAGCATAGCCCTCTCCATAGCTCGCTGAGCGACCTTGAGCTTCCTCATCCGGCCAGCAGTGAAGGACCACGTCTCAGTTCCGTATGTCATCTCCGAATCCGTCGATTGACCTCTCGGTCGAAGTTGGACTTACCTAGTCGGACTATTTGTCCCAGGTAAACATACTCGTCAACAACTTCGAGCATAGTGTTCCCAACAACTACCGGCATAGGTGTGACATGGACATTAAACATGATCTTTGTTTTATCCATGTTCATCTTAAGACCTATCCGTTGGGAAACACTATTGAGGTCATTGAGCATAGTGCTTAGGGCCTCCAGCCATTCTGCCATAAGGACTATATCGTCGGCAAATCGAAGGTGAGTGATGTACTCGCCATTGATGTTGATACCGTATCCTTTCCAGTCCAGAAGCTTGAAAACATCTTCCAATGCAGCGGTAAAGAGTTTCGGGGATATGACGTCACCCTGTCTTACACCTCTCAGCAATTGGATAGGTTTCGTACTCTGGTTCTGTACTCGGATAGCCATCGTAGCCCTACTGTACAAGCACTTCAAAACTTCGATATACCGACAGTCAACTTGGCATCGCTGGAGGGACTGCAGCGCCGCCCAAATTTCGACGGAATCAAAGGCTTTCTCATAGTCCACATATGCCAGACATAGTGGCAAATTGTACTCCTCGGACTTCTGTACAATTTGCAGAAGGGTATGTATGTGGTCTATGGTGCTAAAGCCTTTTCGGAAACCGGCTTGTTCGGGAGGCTGGAAGTCGTCAAGTCTGCGCGCGAGACGATTCGTAATGACTCTCGAGAACAGCACGTAGACGCGGCTCAGAAGGGAAATCGGTCTGTAGTTCTTCAAGAGAGCGTTGTCGCCTTTCTTGAAGAACAAGACCACCGGATCTCTGCTCCACGCCTCCGGTGTAATACCACCATGGAGGACGGAATTAAAGAGCTTCCGAAGGACTTCAAGTACCGGTTTTCCACCCGCTTTCAGAAGCTCCGCTGTAATTCCATCCTCGCCTGGGGCCTTGCCGTTTTTAAGGTGCTGGAGATCCATTCTAATCTCGCTCAGACTGACGTCCGGGATATCATCGGAATTATGTCGGATAAGACTCGCTCTTGGATCGTTACTCACACTTGCGTGCGGCTCCAACGATGACGTGTAAAGCTGCCCATAGAACCTCTCAATCTCACTCAAAATCTCAGGTGCCCCGGAAACGATGCTGCCACATTCGGTCTTCAGCTTTGACAGTTGGCTCTTTCTGGCAGACAGATCTCTGGCAAAGACTTTGGAGCCTTGGTTCCGCTCGATCGCTTCTTCAATACGAGCTGTATTGAAGTTGCCTAAGTCCCGCCGCATGCATTTGGAGATCTGTCTGTTCGGTTGCAATAAATTAAACTGAAGTGTCTGTTTGTAATGTCAAAATAACAGCTATTTACTAAATGCATATGAAAGTAAATACGGTACTTATAACTAAAATACAATTTTTAAAATTTTTGTCTGTCTGTCTGTCTGCCTGTTTGTTCCGGTTAATCTCCTAAACGGCTTGACCGCTTTCGACGGGGCTTTCACTGGCAGATAGCTGATGTCATAAGTAGCTTAGGCTACTTTTATTTTAGAAAAAAAATTAGGGTTCCGCGCAAAAAAATAAAAACCCTAACACGCAAGCGAAGTCACGGGGAACAGCTAGTCAATAATATAATACGTTTATCAATAACTAGCTGTTCCCCACGACTTCGCCCGCGTGTTATTTGGGGTTTTAATTTTTTTGCGCGGAACCCTAATTCTTTTTCTAATTGTATTTTTGTTATTAGTACCGTATACAGTTTTATATGCATTTAGTAAAAAGCCGTAATTTTGACATGGCAGGCACTTCAATTTTATTTATTTGTATAGATTTATAGTTAAGGAACTTCGTTCCAACCGAGTGTTCCACAACACTCACGCATGTTTGTTTTATCTATTGTTATACCGATTATAAAATTATTTTGTCCGTGCAGTTTGGGGTCATAAATCATAGCTCGGCTTCAGCCTGGCTAGGGCGGTGAGCATGTTGCGCGGGTGCAACGCCATTAACGATAACAACAAATGAATCATCGAAGGCAGGTGCACGACGGCGGTGCGGTATACAAATGGTGGTGCGACATTGTTATGTTATGAGTCATTTGTTTTCCATTATTACCCCCTCCTAATACCTGCAAATTAGTGAAATGATAATTTAATACATATATCGAAGAGAAATTTGTTTTTGCGCATTCGCTCTCTGAATTTCTTAAGTGACACAATGGCTACTCCTTTGTTTTGTACCAAAACGGCAGAATTTATTCAAATTAATTTTTGCCTGTTGGCACCAATATACCAGCAAATCTCATCTGGCAGAAGATATCGTAATTCATGTCGATGACGATGACTTTGATGATTGTGATGTGGAATTTTAATGTAAAGAGTTTTAGATTTAATTTTAGATATAAGTTATTATCTTTATATTTATATGTATTTATTTTTAATATAACTTGTGACATTCCAAACATTTGTACTTATAGTTTTTTAATACACAGATACATAATTAATAATTTATTTTAAATCATTATTATTCTTATTTTAATAAATACGTTGATTTATCTAGTTTTTTTTTCATTTTTATCACTAACCCACATAATGACAAAACTAAATACACTATCTATAACGCTTATCGACAACAATAATGCGCATCACTATGCTTGCCCCTAAGGCCCGTGAGTGGCAGAGAGAGCGAAATACTCCGATAATTTATGACCCAAATGGCACGGACAAAATAATTCTAGTATAAGAAATTGATAACATGGATGAGCTATAATTTTATATTTGTTAATATATTTTGATAATTTGCGAATCGAAAACATAATATATTTGCAAAGTGATTTAAATATATACCTACGTATACTATAAAGCGGACATAGGGAACAACTGCATACAAACACTTTGAGCTCGCGCGGTGTGACAT